CAATGGGGTTATGACAGGTAGGTGGGCAAAGGGAGCTAAGGGCATTTCTACTGGATGTTCAGTTAATCACCAAAATATCTGGGAAATAGTGTTTCTTTTACCAATATTTTTCTAGACTTTGCTTGGAAGATCTCAGGATTACTAGCAGATACAAAAATGTATAATTAGAGTATCCTGTTCCAGGGAGACTTTGTATTGCTTTTGACTTTGCACTTGTCCTATTTGTATGACTGACCACTTTCCCACAGGGTCCAGAGATGCACATTTTGTATGGAAAAAAAATGGGCAAAAAATGGCAAACTGTGTGAATGAGCAAACCCACATGCTGTCCAATGGCCGAGTGCATCTCTTAAGCTGGGTGAAAGATGCCATAGTACAAGATGCAGAATATACTTGCCTGCTGATCACAGAATCTGGGCGCAAAGCCTCTACCTCTTCTATCACTGTAGAAGGTAACAGGGTCTCTGTTGGGTAGTGACTTTTCAGATTTCAAGATGTCAGAGAGCTCTAAAACCAAAGAGCCCTAGACACATATAGTCCTGAGCTGAGCAAGCCTACTGGGTCAGCTTGACTGCTCATTTCAAGTCACTAAAAGGGGACCTAGTGAGAATACAAAGATTTACGATATAAAGAATGCTGACCTGTTCCAACACAAGCAAATTGGCATTTCTGCAAAATTATCATTTGTGGTTAAAGGATGCAGCCGGATTGTTGCTGAGCAGAAGAAAACTTGGCAGCCTCTCAATAATTTAACACTAAGCAGAAATGAGCAAGTGTGGGTGCCTGTGCTCTACCCAGAAATATTTTCTATCAATGTTATTGCACAATATACTAAGCTGCTTTTTAGGTAACTCCCTTTTATCTAAATAAAGCTTACAAAATGAGTAATACCATTGCCAATCAATGATTTGAACTATGTAAATGTTAAATATTCTCATAGCATCACATGCTTACCTCTAGATGTTTATTATATATATTGGGTCTTTTCCTGTGTAAGATTGAGATTGTCTTGGCAATGTTTTGGCATGGTCTATATAGATATTTGAATGTTTAATAAGCACCTAACCCAAATCCCTTCCTCCCATTGCTTACTAATTTTAGGTAGCAACTATCAAGAGACCTGGTCAAGAGAGTTTTCTAGCTGGAGAAGTGTTATTGGTGAGCATGAGAAACTGTTGGAAAATTGGAAAAACACATTGGTAGGTGTTACATTTGGGGCAACTGGATTTTCATTTTGTTTAGATGAAGGAAAATTTATTTTTGCAGGGTGCCCAGAAGAAATTGGCAAAACTGTCTTAGTTTGTGCAGAATTGTTAACATTTTGGGCACAAAACAGGAACCCTGCAAGTCACAAAGTACTTTACCATATTATTTGGGAAGTCTTCAGGCTGGTCAGCTACCATTTCTAAATTCATATTAGTTGGTTTGAAACCTGGCAAATCAACCTGTAACTTTTCTCAATTGCTACATTGGCAATTGCTAGAGATAGTTTGCATGTTTTTCCACATCTGAATGCTCTTTCTTGTACTTTCATGAGTCACCCTTAGGCACTCCACTATATTCATATTGCCAAAAGCAGCAAATGCACTGAAGAAACCCGGTATTGTTAGCTCAGTTTCATCATAAAATCCTTATTCCAGAATGCTCCCAGAGCCAATTCAAAGGACCCAGAGAAGTGTAATATGACTGTAGTAGTTCAAAGTGCACTTTTATGAATTACACACTTGTCAGTTTATTGAGAAGTTGCTGTGCTGGTCCGTGACTGTAATAAAGACTGAATAGAAATTGAGAAGTTGATATGAGTGTGCAAAGTCTTAAATCCTTGTAGAAAGTAAGATTTATGATTAGCAAGCTCAGGGACAAGGTATTACATTTATTACTGTACATTGACTCACTATAATTAAAAGGCCTTTTCTGGTTCATATTTATTTAGGACAGTTGCAACAAAAGTGGCACAGCGTGAGAGGCTAAAAGTATTGTTGAAAAAGAAAAGATACTCTGACATCAATCTAGCTCAGGTATGACCTGTGTGCCGTGAAACTAGCCTGTTGCTTTTGTCAGCTGATGTGAACAGTGTGCATTGAAGTGCTGCCATCAGATATTCTGTAAATATCCCCATGCCAAGAAAAAGAAGAAGGATGTTACAAGATGTGCACAACCGCATTACCTGATCTTCAATGAATCCCATGACCGATTACTTCGGTCTTTGCCTATTTCAAAAGAACAATTCCCACTGGGCTAGTACATGGAAAGTACATGAAATCTCACTGCACTATAAATTTATTAAGACAGTATAATTCAGGCAAAGTAGGTTCTTTCCCTTTGGTTACTTGGCTGCGGGATCTTTTGAGGAAAACGGATTATACCTGCAAATAACTCCTGAAAAATTCAACTATTTCTTATGTCATAATCTTGTCATTTTGAAGCCTTAAAAATGGTTGATCTGTTGAATCAGGTAGTAAAAAAACAGTTTTTTTTAAAAAAAACAGTTAAATATATATTTTGACAAAGTAAATGAAAACTCTGTAACTGCTACAACTACACTACACCTAAAAGTTAAGATGGAGTATAACTAGCAAAAATTACACCATTACCTTGCTCAGAGCTAAGTTACGCCGATTCTCATGCAAAACACTTTGGTTTCAGTTTACAAACTTTACTTGGAAACCTGGTAGAAGAGTTGCTGAAACATATTGTGCAATCAGTCTTCAATGGATGCGTGAATACAACCATGTATGAAATCAAGTCATCCACTCAAGTCAAACAAGATGGAATCTGTTTCCCTGTTTTAAATTTCTGTTAGCAGAATTTGCTTCCCTGGTTTTAAATTTCTGTTAGCAGAATTCAGAGTTCTTGCAGAATATGCAGAAATTCAAAGTGATACCACAAGGTAAATCACAACATTCCCAATTACCAGTAATCTTATCAAATCATTGAGGCACACTTGCTAGTCCCATGCTGGACCTTTAGATGAAGTGTTTTCCTGTTTCCCCATTCCATTTTTAAAACTACATATTTCAATATATAGAAAATCCAATGAAAATTCACAACTTCTTGATAACTTTCATTTGCTAGAAATTGTAGAAAGTGGTGCGAACTAGAAAGATATTGCAAATAATCAAGAGTCTGAGCTATGTTATCTCCAGCGTTATAAGTCACAGCAGTGACTTGTAAGACATTTTATTGTAGATCGAGGTAGCTTAAGATTACCTTCAATTCTCTTTTTCTGCCAGAAAATCTTCCAACCACAATTGTTCAAAGTTAGTGATGCAGTTTCAGGCACATTAAAACATAAAACTTACTAAAACCCTGTCAACTTTTGAAGTAAGAAATATATGTTTTCAAAATGTGATGGACAATGAAAAAAATCCCACCATTCTTAAAAAATGTTAAGTGCATTCCTTGGCAAAAGGCAACTTGCCCCAATACCCTAGTATTGCTAATAAAGAAATAAGATATCTGCATTTTATGCAGATAAAGGCACAGGAAGACATAAAAACTTTAACCAAATTCCGTTACTAGTACTTACTGATACTTACTAATAAAGGAGCAAATAGCATTTGGAAATCCGAGCACTGGAAAATACACCTAAATTAGTAAATCACAAGTGTGACTGGAATTGTATGAAAATTACAATGAAAATTTCCACACTTTTTAAAAGGCACACAAGTACGTAAGAAAAGCAGCATTTTCTCTGTGAAACTGCCCAGTAATAGCCTCAGTAAAATACCTGATGTTATTTTAATGCAAACATTTTTTGCAATATAAGAAGCATATTGCAAAATAAAAAATGAAAAATACAGTAGTTGTACAATTATTCAGTTGTCTTGAGACACTGAAATGTTGGAAAGCTTATCATAAAATGATCCAAAATGGAACAATCCTCCATATCTCTCTGGCAAAAATAAGAATGGCTAAAGCATCTGAGCAGAGGTGTCAAACTCCCACACAACAGTTGGTTCTTCTGGCTGAAATAAGACCTCCATCTCTGTTGGAGGGGAAAAAAAGTTATGCTGATAGAGCAGCTTAACCTCTCTTCAGCTTCTAAGTTTATTTGGGTTCTGGAAAGCTAATACAAAGGATTGGATTGTGGGTTTTTTTTTAACATCCTAGGACAGAAGTCTCCAACTACCGGGCTATGGCCCACTACCGGGCCGTGGCCTGTTTGAACCGGGCTACACAAGTGGCGGGTGAGCATGTACATGCACGTGAAGCTCCCTTCATGCAAGCGGTGGCTTCTCGCAAAATGGAGCTTTGTGCACTGGTGCACACTCACCTGCCACTCACAGGGAACTATCTCCTCTTCTCCCCACTGCCGGGTTGCCAAGCCAGAAAAGTTGAGGACTGCTGTTCTAGGACACAATGACCCTTCACACTTTTTTTTTCTACTAGGTTAAACTGTGCCTTTAGCATGGATAAATGAGCAAAACTGTAGAAAAGAGTGCTTAGTAAACTCAGTCATTTCACATTGCCTACTTCTCAACTTGCACTGCTGCCACTTTCTGCGCAACAGAATCCTACTAGCTTTCTAAAGGTAGCCATTAACAAAGAAATTACTTTGTATGCAAAAAGTAAGATATCATATGATGGACATTTTTTGTAACTATGACTAAAATCTACCACCAAACTCCCTTTTACAACCCTGTAATCCCTTAATTTGGGGTAGAGGTGGGGCAATGGAGCTGAGCATTTTACTGGTTGGATGCCCTTCCTAACACCATGCAAAATTTACAGATTTTTTTTTCTTCGTGCTCTAGGAAATATTTGATGCTACCTTGAATTAGGAGGTGAGCATCTTCACCACTAGGCCATCATAGCCCCCTGACTATAATCTATCACCAATATTTAATAAACTGCTGAAGTTTTAGTTGTTAGCTGAGGGGATCCCATTCAGGATATTTGCAATAAATGTATCCAAGTTCCAAGGCTTTACAAAGCCCTTCAAATGTTAATATCAAGCTGTAGAACGGGACCGAATAGGAAAATAGCATACCAATAAATTAATGATTATTCTCTATGTATTTAATAATTCCACTTTGCTTCTACCATCTTTTATTGACACACCCATGACCTACACCAAATTGCTCCATCACAAAATAAACCAGCTGGCAGTATTGCATTTTTTTGCTAATTTGCATATATCCAAATGGAATCATTATATATTAGTATATTTTATATATATATTTACAATAATGTCCCAGAGAAAATCAATGGTGTTCCCTTCACTTTTTTTTCATTTCATATTATTTTATGCAGTTGTGTATTCTATCATAAAGAGAAAAAGAAACCATTTACAAGCACAATGCAGTTCATTTGTATCAATCCAGTGATATAATTATAGGAAATCATGAGAACAGTGATTGGAGACTCTGTGCTTATAGGAGCAGAGATTACCTGTCTGGCTTTCTGCTAAAGGTGCTTTCTCTACAGTTTTGCTATATGAAAATACAAACAAACCTGATTCGATTTCTGTCTCATTCTGTATTCCATTTGGATGAGCCAAGCGCTTTCACTGAATCCGCCCTCGGAGGGAAGTTATTGGACAGCTCTGAATTCTTTGGCATTAAATTATCTCAGAAATTCAACTGTGGGTTTTCTATCCTATATTACAGATAATTAAATTTAGGTAACTCACTATTTACAAGTCTATATACACTCAGACACACACATAAAGTAAAAGTCAATAATGCCAAAGAAGGTAGTCTTGATTTACTGAGGCTCCTCAACACCCAAGGGCAACATGTCAGTGGTTGACAGTTTTTCCAGCTCCAAGATGTAGGGATTATACTCCTCTTCAAGCTTTTGCTTCCAGATCTTAACTAGAGGTGCAAACAAACAAAACACAAAAAGATTTTCCTCTGGGCAAAGACATATTAACAAGAGTTATGGACTATAATTCTTACAAAGGCTATAACATAAAAGGTAGGAATGCAATGTAGTTTTACTATACTTTTGAGAATACTAGAGTTGGAAAAATGGTTCCCCATACTAGCTAACTAGTAACTATTTCCTACTCAAAACTTGCAACTCTTGTATTGAGCTCCAGGATCACAAAAAATGCACATAATCATTCATAAACCTTTCTGGCACCACTGACCAGTTTTATGAAAGACATATTTCCTATGGATGGGTGGGGGAGAAGATGGTTTAGCACGCAACCTAGATCCCGTACATGCATTTGCTTCACTTGCTTTCCCGCTGATTGCGCAGCCCAGTTCCTAACAGGCATGGACCAATACCTCAGACCAGGGGATGGAGACCCTTGTATTAATGTATTGTTTGGTCAATACAGCATGATATGGCCTGCATTCAGAAGAATTACTGCTCTCAGAAATGAAAAAAATAATACAAGTACATGTGTTGGTGGAAGAATCTAGAGCACTGATTCAAACTTGTCTTATAATTGATACCAAACATAACACAGGAGTTCTATCACTCTGAGAAGGGTATTCAACTTTAAATACACGTTCTATCACAAATGAGATCAACAAGGTAATGATGGTTTTGCTTGGCTTCTCCTAAAGAGGCAGTATCATTCTGGATATCTGTAGTGCAGGTAGTCCTTGACTTACAACAGTAATGGAGCCTGCCCAGTCAGGCTCCATCACTGTGTTAAATGAAGCACTTAACTAAAGACCTCCCCTGTCCCTGCTTTCCCCTATGCATTTGTTAAAGAATGTGCAGATTGATGGGTAGAGCATGGGGTGACTCAGGGATGGGAGAAACCAGGACAAACTCAGGGAGACCTAGTGCAATGACAGATACTCCCAGGAGGACTCCCCCACCATCTAAAACATCCCATGCTCTGCTTCCTGCCTCTCAGTTTCCCCAAAGCCCCATGGGCCTCATCCATACTCCACCCTGTCACCATTCACTTAAGTTATCCTTTAACAAGCTCAAGAAATCAGGATCGCTTCCGTTGTAATTCTTGCCTCTACAGCCAGTATAAACCACTCCGATTTCTTCTTAGCTCTGCCAGCATAGTTTTACACTAGTGGCGCTTAGAAGAAATTGCGCCTATTTTGGTTCTTTGCGAGCCTTTCCTCCCCAAACAGCATAAATCAGTAGTGATTACCTTGGCTGGGGAGGAAAGGATTTCCATGGAAGCAAAAGAGATGGGATTTCTTCTTTGTTCTACCAGTATAAGAGTAGCGTAAAGCTAAGAAGAAATAGTGCCTATTTTGATTGCTTGCAAGCCTTTCCTCTTCAGCCAGCATAAATCACCATGATTTCTTCTTAGCAGCACCAGCATTAAGACTAGCGTAATGCTACAGCTGGTGGTGCTAAGAAACAATCGCACCAATTAATGCTGGCTGGGATGGAAAGACTTGCAAGGAACCAAAATAGGTGAGATTTTTTCTTAGCACCACTAGCATAAAAAGCTAGCACTGGCAGAGTTAAGAGGAAATCGTAGTGGTTTATGCTAGCTGGAGAGGAAAGAATTGCAACAGAAACAAACCTGATTGGATTTCTTTCTCTTGATTGTACCACGTGGCCCAATGAAGGAGCGGCCTTCTCTACCCTAACTTCCTGAGCTCATCAAAAGGTAAGCAAATGGTGATGGGAGTGGAGAAAAGTTCATGGAACCCAGTATGTTGGCAAAGCAGGCCCAGCACCTCTGAGAACCTGGCTGGGCAGGATGGAGGGAAATAGGTGCGTGGGTACGCTGCAGCATCTCTATGATCAATGATAAGGGCAAATGACCATGGGGGCACTGCAGAATTTGTAACTTTGTAACCGATTTGTTTTTAACTTTTGGGGTGTATGTTGTAACTTTGAATGTTCATTAAGTGGCCTGTTGTATCTCAAGGATTACCTGTATTTATGTTTGGGTATTAACACGACTTTAGTTATTCTGCTATAGAAGTCTCAAGGCAAGACTGGTTTAAAGGCAGTTTCTGGCATCATTCTAAAGACTGAAATACAAACTGCAGCAAGGATTAACAAACCAAGATTAGCGTACTCAAGGTTTGAAGAATTAAATGACATATTCTGCAACAACAAATGTGCAAATCTGCAATTGAAGAATATTCCAGAATATTCTGTTCCCCTGGAACTCAATTCTAAAGCTTCTAAAACTACTACTGGTTAAAGAAATTTACTGTTGAAAATGTTGAAGTACTCCACGGACGGCATAGTTGTAGTGGGAGAGCAGAACATTCTCGAGTCATCCAGAACATTCTGTAATCATGAATTGTGCTATCTCTGCTATCATAAAACTGTTTACCTTAAAGATGAAAATATACAGATGAACCAAAAACAATTTACGTATTTTAAACAAAGACCCTGAAAACTCACTGTAATTTGGGGCATCCTCTTCAGATTCTTGAAAGGGCACCATACCATTATCTAGTGCACAATTCTCTTCCCGATCGGTTTGGAGTACACAATCACTTTGTTTTACATCTTCACTTGACTCCTTCTCTAAAGTTGAAATCATCTCCTTGTACGCCAGCCTTGCTTCCATTGTCAATTCCACCATTTTGTGAAAGTAGTCCTGATTTATAAAAATTGGAATTTTGCATTGACATTAATTTTAGAACTTTCTCATCATTTCATTTCATTTCATTTTCATTTATACTTTATTTGTATGCCGCCCTTTTCCCTGAGGGGACTCAGGGCGGCTCACAGTTGAAGGGGGGGGGGGGAGACAGACAAGTTACAAACATAGAGTCATACACTGTTAAAAACACAACAGTCACACCATTCGAGTGGGGTTTCAAGTCTTTATCCCCAGGCCTGTTGGAACAGCCAGCTTTTAAGGGCTATGCAGAAGGTCTGGAGGTTGGTAAGGGTATGAATCTCCACGGGGAGTTCGTTTCAGAGGGTCGGAGCAGCCACCGAGAAGGCTCTCCTCCGGGTAGTTGCCAGTCTACATTGGCTGGCTGATGGAATTCGGAGGAGGCCTAATCTATGCGATCTTATTGGTCTAAAGGAGGTAATTGGCAGTAGGCGGTCTCTCAAGTATCAAATATAACTGGTTATCCCCAAATAGCATAGTTCCATGTTCAGGGATTAAATAGCTCAACAGTCTCAATCTGACATGTATTCCCAAGTTCAAGGATATGTGGAAATCAAGGGTTTGTTTGCTTTTTTATTTTTAAAGGCTACAGTACCAAACACAAGAGACTACAAAAATGATTCTGGAAAATAGCATTTAATAAAATAATAAAACACACAGGAAATTAAAGCGCTTGAACTGCCTACTGAAAATTGTGTAATAGAGAATACCTAGTAACATTACATAAAATTTGCTAGCAATCAGAATCTACAAGCGCACCATACTGAAACAAAAAAGCTGTTGAACAGTGATGATATCTATGTAAATATTCATTTTATATTATAGTGCCTCTGGAAGTCTCTGTGGCCAAGATCCTAACTGTATGTGAAAACAAACTCTACTTGCATGAACTCGGCATGATACAAATACAATTGTATAGATAATTAAGATCAGTTTACTTATTTTTGTTTCAGGGAAAGTCCACCTTAGGAATTCTGAAGCCATGAAACTTCTTGATTCATCAGTAACTTCACAGTATTTACAAATAGGGTCTTATTTATAAGAATGTAGGGCAACTCATCATACTAAGTTTTAATAAGTTGATCATGGGGTGGGGGGCAGTGATTAGAGTGCAGTACTACAGGCTACTTCTGCTGTCTGCAATTTGACAGTTCCAATATCACCAGGCTCAAGGATGATTCATCCTTCTCTCCTTCCGAGGTGGGTAAAATGAGGACCCAAATTGTTGGGGGAAATATGCTGACTCTGTAAACCACTTAGAGAGGGCTGTAAAGCGGTATATAAGTCTAAGTGCTATTGCTATCATCTAGGAATCTAAAGTTAAACTAAGCAGCAAAAGAGTTTATCATCTTGACAAAAAGCCCTAGATGCTGCACCAACATAAGGGAATGGACTGATGCTAATAAACCAACAACTGCAGTTACTGTTGGATACTGAAATACTGGGAAAGCAATTACTAAAATTAAATGGAAAATTATGTTTTTCCCCACTGACTTTGGGAAGTGGGCGCAGTTGTGAAATATGTATATCTTCTCTTGTAAAGGACCTTGGATTAATCACTTATCTGTTTTTTTAGTAAGTGTCTACACAGTGCATCTTGTTTACAATTGTAATATACTATGTTCTGAATTATATGGAATAACTGAGGCATAGGGAAAGTGCAGTGATTTCTTTCTTCAAACAAGATAGAAATAATATTCTGCTACAGCCAAAAAGGTAGAAGTAGGCAGGAAAGCAAAGAGAAAATAATTTGCTGAAGTTTCAAACATAAACATAATTTTCTTCATGTTGCTCAATACTTATTACAAAAGAGTATCTGACGTATACACATTTGAGACAAAACCATCTTCTCACTGAAATGATTCCTGCTTGCTAAGCAGTCCATGTATTCAGTGCAGAGCCCTGATTCATTGAAAGCCAACTTTTATTTGAAAAAAGTTGCTTTTGAGAGTGAGATGGTCAGCATATAAATCTAATAAACAAAGTTACCTGTAGCCGTGCATGCAAAAACTTTCTTTTTACAGACATCTGCACTGAATATATAAGTAACTGCATAAAACCGACATATTTGCTGGGTGGCAACATGGTTACTACAAGTAATCATGAACGAACCATTCTGCATTGCTCTAATACTTAGAATAGCACCAAGTTACTTAAGGGCATAGAAAAATACCCTGGAGTATTTGATTGGCATCTTTTTAAATGCTGGCAGTAGCTGTTGTAATACTAATAATTAAGACTTTTAAAAGCTGAAATATTAACCGAAGAAGGCAAACAGTGGCTATAACACAACTCACCTGAGCACCATCATAGCTGAATATTCCCACCACACTAACAGGCACTAATTTGTTCACACAGTGCCCTAGAGCTTTGCGATTGAGAGCAAAAACAAATGGAATATTCTGTTCACATGCAGTGTCAATTATGAGATGCAGAGTCTCATCCAACCCACCTGTGATTAAAAAAAAAACAAATTAAAGGAACCAACCGTTAAAAGAATTTTGCTGTCAGAGTAACTAATTTCTCTTCATTTATGTCCTGAGGGATTTTCCAATGTCCCACTAAACTACATCACAAATTATCTGTTTGCTTTAGGTAAATACTTTAATGTAAAAAACCATACCTTTTGACTGAATTTTTTCACAATTTGGAGAAATAATGACACATTTCAACTTCTTCAGCTTCAGGTGTTTCAAGACTTCTCTGAGTCCCAAAACGAGTCTGCGTTTCGTCTTGGCCTTCACAGGGTCTTTCTGATACAAGCGGTCTTGGAAACGAACCAACTCTTTTAGGAGATCTGTAACGCAGCTGTCAACCTCTTTACTAAGCACTTGGGTACAGTAGCTAAAGAAAGAATCAATTGTTTCAGTATTTCAGCAAATGCCTGAGACTCCTGTCTACCTTCTTTCTTATCCATTCTAATCAAAGATATATACACATAAATAAATAAGAAATCTGTGTTCAGAACAAATAAGTTCTAAACCATAAAATAAACTACAAAACTACTTACTAAAATACCTTAGAGAAACATTCAAGAGAAATATACATACAAAAAAAGAAAAGGCCTGGCAAATTGTCCTCATTTAAAAATGTTCCTTATGTAGACACAGCTATATCCTAATTAGTTAGATTTCTGATATACAATATTTGGAATAGTAAATAGTAAGATATGCTATGCAATATTCATGTGACACCATAAGCAAAATGGACATTACTGAATGTACAACATCAGAATAAAATCTCCTTTATAACAAGAAACAGATGATCAAAAAGTATATTTTGTTCAATCTTTTGAAATGAAGATCACTTCATTTCCAGGTGACCAGATCATGAATCATTGACGCCAAATATGCAAGTTAAACTTTAAAAGTTAAACAAATGCTAAAGAAGTTTTACTGGGATTCAGAAATTAAGCTCAGTTAAGGGAACAGACAGGATACACTTATGTGAAAAAGAACCTGAAGAGAGATCAGAAGAGATAAGAGACCCTGTAAAATTCAAACATTTCAAAGAAGAAATTATTCAAATGACGTGCAGATCAAGCATCATGATAGCTGAGAAAAGACAAAGGATGAAAGCTAAAGCCTCTGGCAATAAGATTTATGATAAATCAACACAGATTTTCAACAACAAGCAGGAAAGGATTAAATAGTTCAATAATGTAAAAAAGTAAAGAATAATGTAAAAAAAGGGCAAATGATAAAAAAGTAGAGATAGCCTTAGAAAGATTTTAAAAAATCATGGGAGGTTTCAGCCAAGTTAGGGCTTCTTAGGAAGAAACATGGAAGGAATTGGATAGAAGCAAATGAAGTTAATAGAATTTGGAGATAATACCCAAATATTTTTTACAAAAAGGATTGCAGAATAATAAAAACATTTCTTGCAGAGGAATATATTCAGGAACTGACTGCCCTAGAAGTGAAGGACAAGAGACATTAAACCAGCTGTCAAAAGGAATAGCACCAGACATAGATGAAATTCCTATTGAATTGTTTAAAGTTACAGAAGAAACAGATAAGGTACTAAGAGTTTTACTTCATATACAGAACATTATGAGGCCCAGAGATTGGAAAATATAATTGCAAACAAAATAACTGAATCACTCTATTAATGAATTCAACTAACTAAAATGGGACAGATAGTAAAGTTAATTAGATAATTTAAGATATGCTTCATCACAGTATAACTATGACTATAAGTCTTGCCAGATTGTGAAATATATAATACTGTGTTTCCACAAAAATAAGACCAGGTCTTATTTTCTTTTGGGCGCCAAAACAAGCAATAGGGCTTATTTTCAGGGGACGTTCATACAAGCCACACTTCCAACAGATCCGTGGTTCAAGGAAAACTAATGCACACTCACACAATGGAACTGCCCAGCATTGAAGTGGTTCAAAATAAACGTACTCAGCACCCTCTGTCTGGATATAGTCAGCTACTGTCACAACACCCGTGTGTACATTTTTTTCCAATGAATAGGAAACGTCTTGTGCTTGCTCGTGGGGGGGAGGGAGGAGGCTACGTGGTACGCTAGGGCTGCAGTTACGAGGCAGGAGGTAGAACTGCCTCACACACCCTGCACTAGTTTACCTCAGGGCTCCTGTTGCCAGGCCATCCATGCCCCGACACCTGCCTCGCCTTGCAGAGGTGGCTCCAGCAGCCCTTTCCAGCAAGATCCTGTGTGGCCACTGACCCACTTCTTGTTTGCTTGCTGTCACAATGGAGCAGGAGGCTGAGCAACACACTGGTGCTGTGACCATGAGGCGAGGCAGGAGCTAGAGCTGCTCCACATGCCACACGCTGACTTACCTCAGAGCACCCGCAGCCAGGCCATCCACACCTGGACACATACCTCACCTTCTGGCTGCGACAACAACACCAGCACATCACTTGGCCTCCTGCTTCGTTGCGAACCATGAGCAAGCAGAAAAAGTAGGCCTGCATACACCTCCTGCTGCACATGACTGTTGGTGCTGCCACCATGTGGCAGGTGTTGGGGTGTGGATGGCCTAGCTGCCGAAGCCCTGAGGTAAGCCTTTGCAAGGTGCATGAGGCGGCTCCATTCCCACCCACCCCTGCCTCATGCATACAGCACTGCAAACAACCAGATGGAATGGGCAACCAGCTGGCTCCGCAGTTGGGCTTATTTTTTAGGGGGGGGTAGGGCTTATATTATGTGCACACGTAAAACGTCCTATTTTCAGGATAGGTCTTATTTTCAGAGAAACAGGGCAATTATGCCAGAACATCCAACTATTTCTCAGATGAACCTGTATAATGACCAAGAAGCCACTGTAAGAACTACATGTGGAAAAAAATAATTGTTCACAATTGGGAAGCAAGTATGAAAAGGATACACATTGCTCTATTTAAATCATACAGACAATCTATAGAAGAACAGAAAGGTTAGACAGTTGGAAACAAACCTGGAAGTTTGAAAATTTGATATGTGCATAAAATGCTGACTTTTTTTGCCGAAAGTAAGGAAACTTTATAAGAATACACTACTTAACAGAGAGGCACACAACATTCTACTAACCCTATCCAGATTTTATTTTGCTTGAAGCCTGGAACAAGATGAAATAAGAACAAGAGGGCGGCGTGCTTAGACACTGCGGCTTTGAGTTCCTGGTACCACAGTAGAGTTAGGCAAAAACTAGTCTATACCTGTAGGGAGTTATTAAAGATTAACCAATTTTGTTGTATTTAAGTATAATGACATTAAAGATTATACTTACTTAATAACTAAAAAATCTGAAAGAACTGAAGGTGGGAGATAATTTTGGAGTTTAGGGTCAAGAATAAGGATGGACAGTATGCTACAGAAATAAAGAATAAATTAATCCTAGCAGGATGGCAATGGCAAATTGACATCACGAAGAATAAATATATATACATGTTTTTTTTTATCCAGCAGAAATGTACAGCAATTAATCCTGGACATTAAGGTAGAGTGAAAGAATGAGGATTTCAGATTTGAAGACAATTTTAAAAAACCAAACAGTTTTGGACTAAATAAAATCTAATGTCTCCCTTGAAACAATGATCAGCATAGAATACTTTGGACAAGTGGTATGATGGACTGATGAGGGGAAAAAATCCCTACATTTGGCAACACTGAACAAAGTAGAAAAAAGAAAAAATACCAATTAGATTGAAGGATAGGGAATGTCTTTGGACAAGCTATGGATTATTATCTGGCACAAGATATTTGTCCCTACTTATACCAGGGGCTGAACCAAATTGACACCTAATTAACATACCTAAACCAAATGGAAAATATAACTAGGTAAAACAGTTCAAAATGTCAATTTCTTCTTTGGTGAACCAAAATTTTCCAGTGGACAAGCTTATTCAAAAGTGCAAATCCACCATTCCACCCTAAAATGTCATTTGTTTACAATTAAGGTCATTCCAGAATTTTACTAATCCAGCATGTAACTGAACGCATGGAGGAAGTCAAATTGGATGCAGAAGAGGGCCATAGAGACAGCACCATCCCTTTCTGCTCTTCAGAGGTTCAGCTGGAAATTTCAAGTCAAAATTACTTGTTTGAACATGAGCGTGAAAAAAACATAATTGTGCACTGCATGGGAAGCTGTAATAACATTTCAGATCAGTATGAGTAGAGCTTCCCTTCAAACATTCATGATACCCAAGTTGGGAAGAATAAGAAATGGTATCTTCATACTCTATTCAATTTGAAAGTTTTTATAGGCATCTTGCTTCACAGACCTCCCAAGCCTATAATAAAAACAATGTTTGAATGACTGATACCAATGTACTTACTCTCTAAATCTTCGGCTATGGATTTTGGGAAAGTTGGATTTCAACTGTGATGGATCAATGGAGTTTTGCATGGAACCACTAGATTCTGTACATTTCAAGTCCACTTCTGAATTACTCGGCGTCAGAAGTACTGGGTACTCTGCAACTTCTTTTACAACTTCTAAGTAAAAGGAAGTTGAATGAATACACAAATGGTTAATTTTTTTTAATAGATCAGAAGCTTTAGAAGTATTATTGACTAATTTAAGCAATTATTACAGTGAAACTGGCATGAAAAGTTACAGGCCACATAAGGAGGAGAGATTACCGAAATGAAAACCATAGAACAGGACATCTTACATATTTCTGTTTAAAGTTTAAGTAATCTTTGTACGTAAAGCAAATAGTTAACATTTAAAATAATCACATCATCAACCTTCAAAGGGAATATGTTTCATATTTATAAATACAGATAGTCCTTGACTAAATGACCATAATGGAACCCAAAATTTCTGTTGCTAAGTGAGACATTTATGAGTTTCCCCCCATTTTCCTTTATTCTATGTTCTCATTGCATTTTATATTTAATTTATTGTTAAACTTTATACATTTCTTGAGAATAAAGAATAGGTGATATATGCATATACTAAATGTATATAATATTGTATATCTCTATATATGTGTGTATAGTTATAGATTTTAATTGTATAATTAATTTTAAATGTAACTATATTATAGTTATCATTATATTTACATTAAAAATTTGATTAAAGCATAAAATAGAAATATTATCTCCTCTTCGCATTTTCAAGTCCCTTAGGTTATATGAGAAGCTAATTCTTTACTGTTCCTGTTTTAAATTGAACGGTGCCTTTTGCATGTATAAAACTTGGCAATCCTAGATGCCAATTTAAGATATAAGCCTGGTGTAATGAAGACCAACCTTGTCCATTGCAGGTTTTAACTATCTACAAAAGGCTCAAAGGTGGCAATTATATTTACAAAAGGAAGATGAGAATTTTTAAACAAGATATTTTTTGTGCACAGTGTAGGATAAAGCAATATCTAGGCTTACGTGCAGAAGCAGCTGTATCACAAACAAGCCAAACCAATTATTCATTAACACATTAAAAAAATTCCATTCCCTATAAGCACCTGGACCTGACTGGTTGTCCATGAACCCTGCACCTTCTTTCGGGGCTTTACAAAATTGCTCGTCATCAGGAACAGATTCTGCATTCTGCTCGACAGCATCAGCTTTCTTCGGTGTAGCCATCTGTTCTAAAACGTGTTGCTGTTTTCGCTGTTCTCTCTCCTTCAAAATAATCTTAAAAAGAAAATACTTGCATTAGGCTCACCCTAAATAAGGTTAACTGGTTCCTGAAATGTTGGCAGGCATAATTTAACTACTTTAGGATCCTTTTTGTCTGACTTTCCAAGAAAGGTAGTTAAGGCAAGTGAATAGATTTTAAATATGTGAAAATACTGAATTCCTGTTCCACGTCTCAATGGGATGAGTTGAAATGAATGCCTTTAATAATGTAGGCTTTTAAGAGAGTCCCATTAGGTCAGATTTTATTCATGTTGACTGCCCCCATGGGCCAAAAATCTAGAGGGTCACTTATCCAAATCCTGAGGAAGAACAACACCTCTTTCTTGGTAGCTAAGAAGCATGGGAGAAATTGGTTAGATATTTTTCCCTTCTTCTGTGGAATTTTCTTGGGAGCCATGACTAACTGTGAAGAAAAAAAAGGAATCTAAGCTCAAGCTGTGAATGAAATCTTCCAGAATGCAGAAAAAAATCTGATTTATGCAGACTTCTACGTGCATTAATATCCAGAAAGATTAGTATTTGGATTTGATTTGATTTTGAGCAGGCACTAAGCAAGCCTCATCCAATTTTTTCAAAGGTAGTCTTTCATCTAATACTTCATTAACATTTTGTACTAAGCCATCATGTCTTTGTTAATACTTCTTTTTTGAGCCTTATTTTTTTTCAAAAACCAACGTATCTCATGCTGTCTTTACTACTACTGTGTATTCTTAGTAAACTTTCAGTACTATTTTAAACAGATATATTTTGCCACTTTATGTCTTATGTAGATTACAATGTGGTAACATGCATCAGAAGGCCTTGGTCTTTATAGACTGAAAAAACAGGTATTCGTTTAAATGCCCTTAAATTCCTTCAATTGCAAAAAAAGGGAGGGCGTTTATTCTTTTGGCCTGTTACAATCCTGTTTAAGAAAAAGAAAACAAAATGGTGGCAGCAAACACTAAACTGAAGACTTTGTTACATCACCCTGTACTGTTCTATTGGAAGAGGCAGACCTGGTGGTGTAGTTTTAGAGGAGTAGAAGGGCTGTTACACATCTCTGACAAGCAGTTGCTAATTGCAACATTTAAATTAATAGAGAGATAAATCCCATGAGAAAACTATGGCATTATATTAACATGAAGAATCATCTTTCTAATGTTAAATTAAAAGGTAGCTCACAGGAGGATACTAATGTTATGCTATTGTATCAAAATAAGGTAGCTTATACATTTGATATTCCTGATCATTTCAAAAATGATCGTTCCCAAAAAACTCTTTCAGCAATTCTACCTTAACAGTGAATTCACTCAATTTCTATCTTACCCACATCCCTACACATTGGCATCCTTCAGTCTCAAAAGACTATGGTATCGTGCTCTGGAAAGAGGTCCTAATGCAGCCTCTGGTATGGTTGAAAAGTCCAATTCGGGAGTGGCAATCCCTTCCACACTCAGGGCAGATACATTCTGTCCCCTTCCCACATCCCTAAGGATTAATGTATTAGTCCTTAGTATGTTTCTGATAGCCAACAGTTTGAGGAATTTCATATGTATTAAATATTAAAGAAGGATGAAGCATCTATAACAGTGTTTCTCAACAATAGCAGCTTTAAGACATGTCAACATCAATTGCCAAAATTCTCCAGCCAGCCTGTTGTCACAGTTGAGAAATGTTGGTAGGGCAAAGGAGTAACAGTTACACTATACTGTACTTGGAGTGGTTAGGTAATGTACCTTTTTTAGTGATGTTGGCTTCTTTGGCTTTGGGACTTCTCTCTGCTTCCCCTTCTTGACCAATGGAGAACTAGAATCCAAGGGGTTGTGTGGAGTATTTTTCTGAATTGATGACGACGTTTTTGTCATTCTGGGAGATTCCTTTGTGGACAATGTTACTCCACTACCAACTGAAACAAATATAAATATATAAATATAATCTGATGGAGGCTTTAAATCTGAAGCCCTTACTTACATTTGAGTGTAATTCAGGTTTAGCAGTGAACTCATCATATGAACTCAAGAATGTACAAGAGAACATCTTTCTTTCTTTATGTAGCAATACATTACACAAGCCTTCTCTTGGGAATATTATAATTTTTTAGAAAAGTAAACTGCTGCCAATTTCTTCTGCCCTGTCATTACCAATTTTAGCTAAAAGTAATTAGTTGTTTATATCACTGCTATTTCTTTAATGATGAAATACTATGGTTTGTTCTCTGTCTTGTACCTTCATCTTACCTTATTATTGCAAATAAACCAGTTTGGTGTTTAACACTAAATGTTTAAATTACATTTAAGAAGTCATGAAACCATTGAAATTCAGTGAAGTCATTACCATCTTGCATTTCAAAGTCTGACTACACTTATTGTACTATATTGCATGATATATTCAGACTGCTCCCATAAACTTTTGTGGAGCAGTCTGCTTTATCTTTCATATCCATCCAGTGTTTAAGACTGTCAATCTAATGGTAGATTACCCACAAATCATGATAATCTTAATTTATTATTATTTGAATGGTGGAAATATTATCAAAGCCATCTATACTTGAGCTTACATATGATATAAAAAGTGGACCATTTGGGCTGAAAAACATTAAAGCTATGCACTATATCCCCATAGTGGTTTTGATAGATTATACCTGCCCCACATAATGGAGGCAGAGGTTTACTTCAAATCAAACAAACTATTGAAGAAGAAAAACACGCATTGGCTGATTACATAAAATACAGCCAAGAACAGGCATTGATGCAAATTAAAAATTGAAACTTATGTATAGGAAAACAAAGCAAATATTGAAATAATGTAATAAATACAAGGACAAAATACTGGTAAGAAAAAGCATTACTTGGAAAAAGTTGATGCATATGACAGTCAATACAAGCTAAAGAACTGGTAGCATTGACTTCACATTGCTATGGACAGATAATAAAATAATATCCTTTCTCTGAATTCTTTCTTTCTATTCCTTCTACTGAAGTCTTTTAATAATTACCTCACCTTAGAAGATATAAGTTCAAAATAGAAAGAGTGATGAATTTGAATGTCATCATCTAGAGAAACAGTATCAAAAGCATACCTGAAAGCACCAGAGGTTTAAACGATTGCTTTAATTTTTCTGCATGCTGTTTTTCTTCCAAAACTGCCAGCATACCCCCTAAATCAAGCTGCACAGGAATCTGACTCTTTTTTCTATTTTTCTTAGATGGCAGAGTATCCTGTAAAGAAGTACAAAACAAAAACAAAAACCCACAGATTTTCTCACATTCCAAATTTTATCTAAAAAATAAAATATGAGCATACCTATCCAGCAATATTTGTATAACTCACAAGCAAGTTAGTGTAACACAGAACGGACAAATTTACCTGCATTTTCTTTTTTTCTATTGGAGCTGGTGGATCCTGTTTGCCTGTTTTTCTTGTGGATAATACATCAGGCATAGGTATTAATTCCTTTGGAGGAGAATGATCATGAGACTCAAATGAGAGCTTTGTGATTATCTTGGAAAATAAATACAATGAAAAAGCTATGAAGGATGAAAAACTATGGCTCAGTTCAGTAATCTAAACACAAGTAGTCTTTATTTAGGAATTGACTTGTTTCACAACAGTTTGTAGATATAATGGGGATGAAAAAGAAACTTTGCAACCAGCCCTTTTGTTTACAACCTTTGCAGGTCTATAAAGCAGAGGAAAACTGAAGAAAGTACACATTGTTGCTGTTTCACTTAATAACCACGTTGCTTAATGACTAAGTTGCCGGCTACAAAACAAGGATTACTTGTAGATTTTAATTTACTGCTCTAAGTTCTTATGCGGCAACAGCCTTAAAACTTCATGAGTTAACAGGATTCTAGTTACTCACTTCAAAATTATGATGACATGTTTGGATTCAAGTGATATTCCTGCTTCAGTTCTTTAGTTTCACATCTCTGTGTGTGCCATATGTGATAAGATTGCCCATCCCATTGTGCATGCATGTTGTCATCATCAAACAACTTTGGGTCCAAGCAATTACCAAAGATTTTCTAATGTGTGTAGAGCAGCTATTCTTAATACACTGGGAACCATGAAGCAGTTTTGAGACCACAAGGCTGTGATGACAAACCTATGGCATGCGTGCCAGAGGGTGGCACACAGAGTCCTCTCAGTGGGCACATGTGCCATCGCCAGCTGCTTTTCCAAGTTCTGGCTCGCACATGCGCGCCGGCCAGTTGGTCTTCATGCCGGCATGAACATGCATTCACATGTTGGAAACCGGAAAAGAGCACCTGGCCGCCATGCACATATGCACTGGCCAGCTGTTCTCTTCCGGGTTCCAGAGTTCCAGTGCACACACACACGCTCCAGTTTCGGCACTCAGTATTTACCTATTCACAAAAATTGCCAACCATAAAAACTAGAAAGACACCCTTTTATGAAAATGCAAACCAGCAAGGGTATTTTTCCAAGATTATTTTTTAATGCTGTAGCTCTCTATTATTTTTATTTTCTAAGAAACCCTATGAGGAGTGTTTGCACAGTTCAAGGATTTTGATTAAGAAAGGTGATATTGATATTTTGTATAATATCACCTTCCTGTTCATTGGATTGCAGGAGAACTGGTGGAGACAAAGGAAATTTCTGACACTGTATCTTCCTCTTATTTTTATTCCAAATTCCTTTATTATGACTGATATCATTTATTATTGGACTGATAAATGAAGTCCACTGCATTTATTTTTCAGGATATTTAATTGATTTGAGCAAAGTGCTCATGACCGAAATTTGAAATGAAAGGAATAAACCCCAGGCATTAAAAATTGATGTTAAATTTACTTAACATTGAATCACCTTTTTTCTCTTTTTTTTATATGCCATTTTTTTCTTTTTTGTTATCAATACTGGACATGTTTTTGTTTTGTTTTATTTGTTTTTCTGTTCTGTATTTTATCTTTCATAACAAAAAATATACATAAAAATAAAAATAATGAATACTCATTTAAAAGTGAAAATAAAGACAAATAATAATTCTTACTTTAGTCTTCTCAATAATAGGTGTTAAACAAGGAATATTTTCAGTTGCCTGTTTATGTTTTCTGTCAAAAGCAGATGCTAAATCTGGGAATTCTTCAACATCCTACATAAATCAAAGTAGATTGTTTGAGTAGATCTGGGTAGGAAACAATTTATTTATTTACAAATACAATTTAGAGACTGCCTAACTCCTGAGATTTTTAAATGACTTACAATTAAAGCAAGAACACTACCAACTTCCAACCCTCAAAGAAATCACATATAAGCAAAAGACTCATTTAAAAGAAGCTCAGCCATTGATCTGCCCCAAGTTTTGGTAGACAGCTAGGCCTAATAGCTCCCTGAATATCACCAGGATAGAAGCCACTTGGATTTTCTTTCTCAAGGCAATACAGCCTTTTCTAATCATGCTGCAAATATTGGTTATATGTTTTCTTATCATTTTTAGGGAAATACCAAAAAAATGTATAATGCACATAAGGCAGAAAAACTCCATAATACAGCCACCGTAGCTCAACTGAAGTTCAAAGGACTATTCTGATAGAACTGAATAATACAGTTCTATCTTACAGTGGCATTGACCTCCAAAGATTATTTAGCTCTGGTTTAAGCTATATTACACTATTCCCAGAAGCAAACCTTCCTTTTCCCTCTCTCTCATTATAGTATTATGCCAGGTTCTAGATTCTCAGTATTTTTCCTTCTTTTTATATGAAGTGATTAAAAAGACAAGTGACATCTGTCTCATGTAAAGAAACAATATTTCTAATTTTGATGATATAATTATGTAACTAAGTTGATGTAATAACGAAGACTCTCCAATTTCCGATTCTGAATTCTCAGGATTGCATCACACATCTTTCATGTATCCAATAAACATATTGGTTTAGTAACTAAAGGAATATGGAACATATATTTTCAATAGTCTTGTGTGATAAATTATGAAGGATAATGTACTTGAAAGTTTTTGAACTCTAAAGCAGAATATAAATACAAAAGCACATAAACAAGCCACCATTTTCAAAAGCTATTATTTATTAAACTTATGTGTCACCCCTCTCAAAAGAAACGCCAACGAGAGATTTAAGAATGTGCAGTTGAAATCAGTTGAAGTTAAGTGATAAAGCAATCTATTTCTAATGTAATATTACAGTTACACTCTAAGATGAATTTTCAGTCGGTTTTACTAAGCCAAGGGCATCAAGCCAATCTCTTGTGTCCTCCCTTTTACTGTGTGTATGTGTCTCTGTATTTGTTTATTTCACATTCAGGGAGGAAAACAAATCCCTAATGTTGTTGAACATATTATATAGTTTTTAGTGGAAACAGTACTAATCCAAGTTATAAACTTAAAGAAAATTATTATACACTATATCAGTTTAACACTTAAAAGTATTTTCTACTTAGTAGTAAAATGTGTAACATTTATAAGAAGTTTGTGATTTTCTCCACATGTACTATCATTATTGCATATGGTATTAAAAAATAAAATGAAAAGGGCAAAGCTTTATTTTTAAATAGGACTAATATTTTAAATAATTAAGGGAAGAAATTTATACTAAAGCCTGGAATTTAGGCTTAATTTTTATTCTACCTAAAATAAAATTTATATGATTTTTGATTGTCATGTGAAGCCTAAATTATAATTATTTTTTATTTCTTTAAATTATATTGTACTATAATTCCTTTACACACACATATAATAATTAGTTGTGTCAGATAATTAACTTTAGCACCTGAATTCTTGGAGGGTCTTGAACTAAAATCCTCTGGATAGGAAGTTTCTCTACTTCACTGCATGGTCTGGCTTTCTTTTTTTTCTTTTTCTTCTTTTTTCTCTTTGCTGTTTCTTCAAGATTACTTGCATTTTCTCTTTCTGATTTCTGTATAAAGTAGAAGTAAATATTTCTTAGGAGAGATAGAAAACAAAGCCAAGATTGTATTGTAGAGTATGATCCTTTTATTTATTGGTTTATTGTTATCATGAGTTGCCCGGAGACATTTAAGATGGGCGGCCATATAAATCTTTTAAATAAATAAATGTAGATAAAATAATAAATATAAATACAAGAAGAGGTATGTGGTAAAAATCAATGAAAGTTGATCAGGAGAGTCAGTATGCACAGAAAAAGAAAGAAAAACAAGGGTTACTTAATCTCATATATTCATTTTTATACCACTTGCATTAAAATATTCTAGAGAAATAGATTTTATTAATGCAAGGCAAGAATACTATCCATGTGTTTTGATTTTTATCACAATTATCATTCTTCCTGTTACAAATCAATGCATTTAAATATTTTATACTGCAGGTTCACTGAAGTTTTGGTTAATTATAAAATAGTGAAAGAGCTTGGAAACTGATCTTCATACCTTGTAATCCTCAGGAGCATTATCTGTTTTTTTACTTCCAGAATGATTGCTTGCTAGAATTGAAGCTGGAACTGGAACAACTTTTTTGGAAGTTTGGGAAAGCACAGTGGCCCAAGATAAGGGTATTTCGGTGAAAAGGCCTGGATTTGCCTGAGGAACTGAGAACAGAATATTTTATTCAAACCAATTGCAAAGTAACCTAAGAATTGAAATCAGGGGTCTTTGATGCTCTGAGTTTGGTTATTTTCTTGTCTGGGGAACCGAGGACATAATGTATTATTAAACTAATATCAGAGTAAACGAAGAGTTGACCTCACATAGAATCATTATTTCTATTTTGCGTGTAAAATGAAAACAGGAAATCCTCAATTATTACTATATGTTGAAAAAGACTAATTATATGTATGGATATTTTATACACAAAATGAATGGATTTAAGCATATGTATTTATAAAGTAAGAACTGGAATGTGAATTAATGCTTTAAATTCTAAAGTAGAAGGATACATCAACATGAAGCCAGGTTATATTATGCTGGATAGTGCTTACCTCCGGGATCTGATGAAGAACTTAAAGGTCTTGTTGTGAAATGCTTTTTCCAACATACTTCACCCTATAGTAAATATTAACACCTTTAGTTGAATATGTACAACTTAGTGTCATATACAAATAATTTATCATATGCACCTCTACTCAGAGTCAATCAGAAAATAAAGCCTCACCATGATAATAAATTAAATAAAATAGTTCATAATAAAATACATTAAAACTGCTCCAGAATAGCTTCAGTTGTTGCAGAAAATATCTTGCTTCATTAAATGACTTCTTCAGGATCCAGTGTGTAATTTATGTACAATGGAAAATCCATATTTAGTTACATTCAATTATAAATTACAAGAGCCACTGAAAATAAAATACAAATACATACATACATACAGGTTTTTTTTTAAGATATACGAATGCATTCAATGCATTGATCTCACTATGAGACAACTACAAAATTATCAATTAAATACAAAAATTATTATATATACAAGTGTAAAAGATATATTGATTTTTAGTTGCCAACCCAACTGTTTCTCTTTATAAATATAAATCAAACTAAGTTTTTGCTTCCCCCCTCCCAAAAAAAGGATTGTATACATAATATATAAAATGATCAGGTAATTTTAAGAAGACTTAGAGGAACATTTTTGGTAACTAAGAATTCAGTTCCAAATTTTCTCTAACATGCAACGGAATTGACATTATTGATGGGACATATATTTCTATTCATTTTTCCTTAATAGAGATTGGCAGTTGTACTGATCAGCAAATAGTTTTGTATCAACACCTCTATGTTCAACATCTCAAACACTATCCAGTGGCTAACCTCTTTGGTTATGTTTGAAATTGCAAGTTTTCCTGGAGGTGTCAGAGGCAGCTTATCTCCTTCTGCTGAGACCACTGGCCCCCATGCATGCTTTTGAAGATCCAGGAGATTGTTACTTTCTAGGTCTTGGAGTTTTGGGAAATCTGACAAGGTCATTTCAAAGGCAGGTTCTGGTAGATGTTCAGCGTTTGGAATTTGCTTGAACTTCCCATTCATAACTTTAATAGGCCTATCTAATTTAAAACAAAATGTAAACACTAATGGTTACCTTTTTTAATAGCCATAATCAGTTTACTATTTTAAAGTTACTATGTTTAGGCCAAATCCTGAAACAAATTATGTAAAAAAACTCAAGCTGCTGTAATTCTACCACCCTGTATATTATCTTGATTTTCATCTCTTTCCCCAGCTAAGCCAACCAATGATTATATCCGCACTAAGCATGCTCAATTCTAATTAGGTTGTTTCCCTTGATTCCCCTCCCATTTGATTTAAGTGTGAAATTTGTAGATGTATACAACTATGCCCTGTTTCAGCTACATCCAAAATCTGATTTTTTTTTCTCAAAAGACTTCTATAGGAACTTCATTTCAATAGAGAGAACATTTCAGAATAATTTCTCTGTGTGGATAGGAAAGTGCTGCATTTTAACAATCTTTAAATATACTGTTTAATAATATATGTAATCTAAACATGATCTCACTGTGTATTCTGGCCTCTTTTTTTTCAATCATGTGAGTCAGTGTACCAGATTTAATAGTATTCCTGCTATGCAGAGGAATATAAGCTGAATTTTCGGTTGATCTGCAGGTAAAATCACTTCTATTAGGCCTTTTATCCTCCAGTCTAGTTTCATTATTTTTCAGTTGTCTCTGTACAAAATAACAAAGAAAAACAATGCATATTTCAAGTTGATTTTTCTAAATTATTTCCCTGTTTATTCCACTTATATTATTTACATTTATTCAAATATTCAACAGTTATTAAAATAAAAGCAAAACAAAATGAGCATTGAAGAAAAAATACAAGTTACGCCTAAAGAAAAGACACTGACAAGAGAGCATATTTTTTACTGGGATTAATGCAGAAGAAGGCCTTTTTGCATATATCTAACAATTGGTTCACAGACAGAGAAGGCACACAGATGAGCCTCTTCCTCACATCCTAATATTCAGACATGTTCATATAGGAAAAATGATTTCTCAGTAATCTTCTAAACATTAAAAATTGTTAATATTAACTACTTCATTTCTGCTAAGAAAACAAATTGCAGTAATACAGATCTAACTATATGATTCAAATATTCTTTGCAGTTCAGCTCCTGCATTTTGTATTAACTGAGGGTTTTGGGCTTTTTTCAAGGATAACCCTATGTGCAAGTAGTCCTCGACTTACAACATTCATTTAAACAACTTTTCGAAGTTACGGTGATACTAAAAAAAAGTGACTTCTGATTGGGGCACACACTTATAACCATCACAACATCCCCAAGGTTATGTACTGTATTTTTCAGAGTATAAGCACACCTTTTTTCCTCAAAAGAGAGGCTGAAAATCTGGGTGTGTCATACACTGAAAAAGGCATTTTTTGCCTCCCGAAGCCCCACAGAGAGTTCCTCGGGGCTGAGGAGGGCAGAAATGAGCAAAAAATGCCCACCCACCCCCAGCAGCACTCTATAAGCCTCCATAAGGCTATGCATGCAATTTTTTTTGACGAAAAACGGGCCCGTTTTTTGCTCATTTTTGTCCCCCCAAGAACACACTCAAGCCCCCCAAGGTTGTTCGTGCCTTTAAAAAAAAAACGGGCACGTTTTCACAAAAACCGGGCCATTTTGGGGAGGTTTGTAGAGCGCAAAAACTCCCCCCCCCCCGGAAAGCTCTTTAACTGATTGATGAGAATTACATTGATCAAATGCTGTGCCAGCAGAAACTCCTATCTACTGTATTTTTCTCTCTATCCCTCTACCTACACAAACACACACACTCTCTCCCTAACAACTGTATTTCTCTATTTCTCTCTCTCTATCCCTTTATCTACCTACCTACCTACCCTACCTACCTACTCTCTTTCCCTATCTACTGTATTTCTCTCTATTCCTCTATCACTCTATCTACCAACCTATCTACTCCCTCTCTCCCTACCTACTGTATTTCTCTATATCTATTTATCTCTCTCTATCTCTCTACCTACTGACACACACTCTCTCTCTATTTCTCTCTCTGTCTCTCTCTGTCTCTCTCCATTTATCTACCTATCTAACTTCTCCTACTACCTACTGTATTTCTTTCTCTTTCTCTCCCTCTCTATCCCTCTATCTACCTACCTACTTTTTAAAAAATTAGCCTCTTCAAAACCTTGGTGCGTCTTATACTCCAATGCATCTTATGCTCCGGTGTGTCTTATATTCCAAAAAATACGGTAGTCAAAATTTGGGTGCTTGGCAACTTGCATGCATTTTATGATAACTGCGATGTCCAGGGTCATGTTATCTCCATTTGCAACCTTCCTAGGGAATGTCCAACAAGCAAAGTCAGTGGGGGATGTATTTAAAAACTGGGGTGATTTAATAGCTGTGGCTATTGTAAAATTGCCAGTCACGTAACAATTTCCCTGCTTGGCAATGGAAGTTCTGATCCCAAACGTTTGGCTATAAGTCGAGGACTATCTATAGCAGGGATCTGCAACCTTGGCAATTTTAACACTTGTGGACTTCAACTCCCAGAATTCCTCAGCTAGTGAAGAGTTGAAGTCCACAAGTCTTAAAGTTGCCAAGGTTGGAGACCCCTGATTTATAGTGCTCTTTGTAATAGATGCATTGAAATGCAAAGCATGGACAAGGGTTACCACATCTGATTTGTGGTAGGAAAGGTCACAGCTAAAACAGTGGATCTAATTGGGTAATCACAGTCGTTACTTGTGAATCCAATGACAGCTAAGGATCAAAAAGCATGCTCCTTATTTGGAAATGAAGAGCAAGAGGTGAAAATACAGAAAGAACTGAAAATAGTTGTCTAAGCTGTTATCACTTACCCTGGATAAAGTAGCACATTCTTTTCTGATCAAAGAAGGCGGTGGGGTGTACTCTCTACCCTGTTTACTAGAAATGTTCTGACTCTGGAAGCTGGAAACTGCATGTGTTCTTGGTGTGGCAGTAAGAGAATATGGAGAATTGGTGTACTCCTCAAGAGAAGTACATCCTGTAATATTTTGAGGTGCACACTGAGAAAGACAGGTGGAGGTATCCCATGGTACTTCTTCAATATATAGCTGTTGTCTTAAACAGAATAAGCATATTGATTTTTAGCAGAACAGGTTACTCAAACATATCAACGTTTTATAGTAGGAAAATAATCCCACTGTAGAGGTATGTTTTTATTTTATATCATAGTATGTTTGATATTCAAATGAAACAAATTATGAAACAATTGTTATAATGCAGAAACATGGCTTTCTAAAGCTGTCACAAATCACTTGGTTTATTTTGCTAAGAATTTTTGCAGAAGAAATAAATATAAAAAGACATGGGATACGGAATGAAAAATGATTTACAAAATTCAAAAATACATGTATAGATGTAGAATTTCTTCCATAAATTGCAAGCAGTACTATACCAAGAAAGAAAAGAGGATAGCTGGAAAATATTTCAGTTCTAAATGCTAACACTAGATGTTTAGATTTCTGATCAACATATAACATAACATTATAATGAATATCACAAGTTGTGAAAGTATCAACATTTATCTGTATGTTTTTGAAAATAATTTTATATAAATATGATTTTCCCTTTAATGATTAAATGATAAGCTATATTTTGTTTCAACACAAAACAATCTCACAAAAAAAATGAACTGGTATCTCAAAGTTTTTTTTCTTTATCTTTAATGATCATCTTTTTTCCATTTAAACTCTGTTCTTATTCTTAGTATTGTATAGATAATACAAGTAAGACATTTAGGGTTGAGAAAAAGCCCCAAGTGACTCATCAACTTTGAAGTATCTCATAAGAAGTACACAAAATATTATAGTCTAAAATATTAAAGGAACATTTCAATGATATCATTCAGAATTATTGTTGAAATGGGGAGCCATATACATTGCTTAAATAAATAACCAATAAATGTAATTCACCAAACTTAAAAAATTAAATTCAAGATCTTGGGAAGTTAAGTTTCCTCAAAAATGAGACATAAAGGGTACATACTTATTCACTGATGGCTCCTGAACATATGGATAGCATGTTGTATAATACCCAGGAAAGACACATGCTTCTGAGGGTTCTGGCCATGCCACTGTTACTGCTGCAAATTTGGGGACAAATGGTTTGACCTCTGCTGATAACTTGATACCCTGCTTTACAAAATAAGTTTTGATTACATATACTTTCAGATTATACAAAATCAATTAAAATGTTATGCATATACATGAGAAAAAGTACGATTCTTCGGCTCTTCAAACAATGAGACATTAAAATGCCAACTGTATATTCTCTTGATAATTACATTTAGCAGCAAAGATATTATAAGCAGTAGAGACACATAATTTTTCTATCTTTGCTATTCAATTAAGTTAAAAGACTTTCTATAGGTTTTAGGAAGTTTCTCCCTTTCTGCAATCTCTCTTCTTTTGCAGGAATCTCTCTACTAGCCTTTTACCCCAGTTACAGTTTTGCATTACAAGTTTAAATGTCAGATGTAATTTAAAGTAGAAGTTTGTGAAAGAGAAAACATCTTATTACACATTCTTAGTTTATGTATCTATATCTATGTATGTATGCATGTTTCTATATGCAGAGAGAAAGACAATATCAGCAGCTAAGGTGCTGGACAAGAAGTAGGGAGACAAGATTCTAATCCTTCCTTAAGAACAGTAGTTGCCAAGTGACTTTGAGCTACTCACTCTTTTTCACCCCTATTTAGGGGAGTTAAAAAATATCTACCAATTCGTACTAGATCACCACTGTAGATTATAATCTGTAACATTCAGTGAAAAAGACTTTAATCTGCAATCGGTTGGTTTGAGCTGAAAATTATAATATGCATATACACTGTGGTATGTTTGCATTGGCTCTATGTTAACTTTCATTTATAAAGTCGCAACCAAACTGCAGCAAGTTATTCAACTAGCAGTTAAATGCCCTTTCACTGTGCACCCTCTAGTGGTTATTTCTAGAAACATTGCAGGAAACTTAAATGTTTCGGTCAAGAATATGAATTATTTATTTTTGCAATTAGTGCAGTCATAATCTGGCAAATTTATACTGATTGCTTGTGAGTGCAGATTTAATCAAAAAGTGAAATATACACATTAAATCACATTGCAAAAATATTAAGCTAAAGTATGATTGAATAATTTTTACATTTCTGACAATTTGAATACATAAAAAAATTAAATATTTTGAAAATTTTGCAACTTTGCATCACATATTTTTCAGCCATTAGCTAATCATAATTATCCTTTTGATGAAATAAATAATTCATAAATTAAAAACAGAAAATAACATATACTATACAATCTTAGCCAAAGTGTGAGTGCATGGGGGTGGGGATGGGGGTAAAGCCCACTTCCATCCAAATGAAATATTAAATATTTGTACTTGCAATTCCCACTGTTTTATACTATGTAATGAGCCCAGATTCAGTTATCTTAAACTTCTACAACATTCCCAATTATATTGTTCAAGTAAATTCGTTTATTCTCTTTGAAATCACAGTATATACCTTTAATGTGCTTGTATATTTCTATTAAGCCATATGGAACCACACACTTGCTGGTTCTTTCTCCAAGTGGAATAACTGTCTTTGGTTCCTTTTGAATGCATCATGTTATCCACAAAATATTCTTAGCATTGCTAACCACAGATGACGTAAATAAATTGAAATAATAAGAACTTTGACTAGTAGTGTCAGGCAATATGGCAAAATTAAAGTGTATATATATATATGCAAATATCATTACTTGCTGTCATCTGTTTCTGATAGTTATCTTCTGCAATTTTGCCAATGTTACTCTTATTTCACTGTTCATTATTGCCAGACGCACAACATTTGGTCACATTAGAAGCATGGGTCAAAAATTTTTATCTGTTATATTTGTAATCACATTGCACATTGTAATTTGTAATAAAAGAAGTACCTGCTACATAAGTAGGTTCTTAGAGTTCAAATAATAATAAGAAAAGTCCAATTTCAGGCTTCCTATCATTCTCTCTCCCTGCCCCTTTAAATAGTTGTGTCAATATTTTCAATTAGACTAGATTAAAATTCTGGAAGAAGACAATGGCAAACCATTTGTATATTAATATCAAGAAAATAATATTGTTGCACATTATCTAATTCCTGGGTATAGAGCTTAATTTCAAGAAGCTGTTTTGCTTATTTTAAGTCAGATTATTTGAAATCATTTACATTTACAAATAGAATTACAATGCTGTTTTATATTGTAAGGTACCTTATGTTATCTGAGACAAGTCTTGAAAGTCAGATAATAAATATATTCAGTGAATACAATATGTTCCTGTTATTGGAAAAAGCCCTGTCTCCTGAACTTTAGCTTTTTTGTGGGAAGTTTTGGCATTAAAATATGATGTTTTTGAAAAACGAACAAATGGAGAGAAATGGCAATTCTCTCTCTGCTTTAGAGAACAGAAATTAGGTGCAAGAGCAAATACACTATTGAAAAACAATTCCATAGGCAAGATTCATCTTAATTTTAGCCACCTTGAAAGAGGAATGGAATCTATCAATGTCCTGTAATGATAATGTTTACAGTATATTTGCTACGTTCACGGAATATTTTAACAGTAAGTCATGGTTAACAAACATGCTAGTTTGTATTAAAATAACTTGAACTAAAACGAAAATAACCACACTATGTTTTAATGTGATGCATTTTGTTTGGCTTCGGACTTTCTACTACAGTTCGTTAACTACAATTTAGCGGGTTGTGAAAACACACTCGAAATGTGCCTTTCCTAAGGGCCTTTGGGTGCGACCGCCAGATCTCCGCTTGTATTTGCTTTTCATTTGGCAGAGGAGGAAGGACTCCCCACCTGAAGTGAACAGACTGTCATTTTACACCTTCACTTCGAGGCTCCCGTCGAAAAGCAAGCGACGTGGTTTACCAAGAAGAAACCTCGGGCAGAGGCTTCCTTTTCTTTTTCTTTACCGGGATCGCGGGCGGGGGAGTGGGAGTTCTCGCTGCCGGTTACATAACAACGGCCAGGGCGACTTAAAAGAAAAGCCGGTCTTTATTTTTAGTGCTCCGCAGACCCAGCCTGACCGCCGTTTTCCCGCTTACCTCATTGCCCGCTCCCCGTTCTGAAGTCATGGCGGGGAGAAAAGCAAAGGTCAATGCCTTGCTAACGGCGACTTCCACCCTACCCTCCACCACAAACCCCGCTGGCGCGCACAAAATCGTCTTGGAAGCGACGCCGGAGCCTACGGGGATCACGGCCAATCAGCAGCTGCGTAGACGTCACATGACAGTCGCCATGACGCCAGAGGCAAAGAGAACCTTACAGGCGGAAGTGTTCGACGGTTCTTCCGAGGAAGTCGCGCCGGGTCGCGGTTGCGCGGGAGGGAAGCCGCATCCAGCTGCAGAGGCAGAGCAGGCCATCGTGGGAGCTTTTGCTACCCAATCTCCGAGAAGAAGTGACAAAAACCTTGACTACAATACACCGCTATTCTCTAATTTTTCTGGAACTTCGCATCAGTAGACGCTTTTTTCCTTTCAAAAAACCTTATACATCTGAATTGCCCTGGGAAGCTGCCTTCATTTGACACTTGATATTTAGCAAGCCTATACTACTATGTATAAGATCTCATGTATAAGCTACGTTTGATTTTTCTAAACAGAAGGCATCCTGGGAAACTGCCTCATTAAATGCACTGCATGTATTTTTGGTGTATTTCAAATTTTATTTGGAGGGCTTAAAGTGGCATGCTGTTTACATGCAGTCTCATTCATCCTCTTCAATATTCTGTGTGAAGTTGTGTTGAATGAGTTCTAGATAAATGAGGATTTGAGCCTGAGACTCCACAGTGAAAATTAATTATTCTGTCAATATAGGCACATCACATAAAGGTTAGGGGTTAGTTTAGAAAAGGGAATCAGTATTCCAAATGCTGGGAGAAACAACACTTAACACAGAAAACGTGGCACTACTCACAAGTTTGTCTTAGAAAAGGATGTTCTGCCATTATGCTCTGAAGTTTTAGTAGGACCGTATCATGGAATTGTAAAGTTGGAAGGGACCATAAAGATCATCTAAACCTAACCCTGTGTGAAGTGCAGAAAAACTAAAATATCCATGAGAAATGGTTGTGCAGTTATTAAAAATTGTCCATAGATGGAGAACTCACAATCTCCAAGTCTGTTCCACTATTGTTAACACTGTTAGTAAGTTATTTAAACAATATACAGGTAGCCGCACCTTATATCTATTTCTGGTCAGTTTCTGCGGCCATGGAAGTTTTCAACCATGTTCGCTGTGACTTTTGTTTTAAATCATGCTCCCTTGGTTCTCCCCATCCCCTGGGTAGAATCAGACAACTTAAGTTCCTTTAGCTTATTTTCATAAAGCATGTCGTCTCAATACAATTTTCATTATCTCCTCTGAATCCTTTACAGTAGATGTCAAACACACCTGCAGGCTGGATCCAGCCTGTGATAGACCATGGAATTGGCCTGTCCTGGAGACAGCGAGGGACTGGCTCCTGCCGCCCCAGGCCCAGCCACGATGACCAGGCCACACCCACCCCGGACCTGCAAGGGCAAACAAACTCCTGATGTGGTCCACAACAGGATTGAGTTTGACACCTTTGCTTTACAGCATGGCTGGCCAACCTTTTGGCTTGTCTCAGGCAGCATATAAAGTATGTAATATAGTTTATATAAACATCACAAATTATAAAACTTTACAAACTTATAGCTATCCAGGACCACATGCAACCTGTGGGCTGGACACACCTGTTGTACAATAACCTATCAATATTATTCAGGAAATGTAAACCTCTAAATCATACATGAAATTCCAGATGTGATTATACCAGTAACGAATAGAATGACTTCATCCACCTTTGACACAATTCTTATAATGCAAGCCAAGTCTGTTACCTACCTTCTCATGGGTGTATCATACCGCTGACTCATCTTGCCAATGACCACACCCAAGTCCTGCTCAATTTTAGCATTTCCAAACTATTATTTCCCTGTTATATATAGGTCCTACAGTTTACTATCTCTAAATGTAATACTTTAATAATTAGCTATATTAAATAATATCTTGTTACTCTCAGCTGTCTTCCAGCCTGTTGGAAGTATGAAATTGATAAACAAGTTGATGGAATGTGCGTTTAAGTTTAAATCTCCAGTCAGATGAATTGCATTCTAGAGGATTTTAAGGAATTTACTGTAGTCTAGCCAAATATTTATCCTTGAGAAATTTTCAAAAACCTTACATTTCCAGGAACAGTAAGACTTACTCTAACATCAATATTGGGAAAGATTTTAAAGGTAACAGAGCAATTGATCCATAAGCACTTTGGAAACAAATTATCACAAATCAGCATGAATTTGTCAATTGATTTTGCCCATGAATCTCATTTTTTTTCTTAGTTTCATAGAGGGTGATATTTATGGCTAGGTGATCTATTAGGAAATATCAGATCTATAGGCAGGGTATGAGAAATAAGCCAGCTGTTATTTAAAAAATTTGGACAGCTTTTCTTATATTGTATGGAAATTAGATTAAGAAATTAAAATCCATAAAATACATACCAAGATTTAATTTTAAAAACAGGTTTATTTCTTCAGACCTATTTTAGGAGTTGAAAAGCCACAGGATGAATTGCTCTAACAGTTATAGAAAGATACATTTCTAATATAAACCAAAGATCATTGAAGATTGTATAATCAACACATTACATGTAAGTTGTAAACTTTATTGAACAAAATTGACAAGAGCAAATAGGCACTTGTTAACAATGAGAGTTCAAGATCATAGCAGCCAACTTAACTTTGCATTTTACTGAGCTCTGTTGCTGTGAATAATACAGCTCATGCACAGGTAATGACTTATTTGTACATTTTTCTCAAGTATTCACTGAATACTACCAACATATATACATTTGTACATAAAATTTCAGAAATTTAGAGAAGTTATTTTTGTTGGCCTTTTGGAAGTGGTCTTCTAAAAAGAAGGATATGTGGTTCTGCAAGAGAAAAACAGAAATTTGTTTATGCCTGTTGTGAAAGCTTACACTTGCCAATCATGCTGATTAAACCCATCCCTTTATCACTGCCATTGTAACTGACTTGGAAAGAAAAATCCCCTTTCAAATATGGAACATAAGACTGTAGTCCAACATATTCAAAACAAATTGTGACATCATATCAAAACTAAATATTTAACATTTATTAAAAGACATGTAAACATGCTAAACAAAATATTCAAAATATTTTGTATCACAATATAATATGTTACAACTGAGTTTACTTCTCCAAAGCAAAAACTATACAATTTAGCTTGACATAGGACACACTACATTTGTATTTTTCCCTTCAATTCCCAAATGATAGAAAGGGAAAAATGTTGACCACAAATGAAATAAACATTTCAGTAGGTTATGCAAACACTCCCAATTCATATCAATGCAACATGAAGTCTACAGGGAAAATATTTTCTAAAAATATAACATCTGCATTTATTTTACCTGGTTCATGAATCATATAGTGGACCCAGCCAAGACTCTGCTGAACACCAAGCCTTCTCCATTCTTCTTCAGTCATTAGATGTGTTTTTGGTACTTGCTTTGAGAGCTCTCTTGGCAGCATCACATGCCTATCACGATTTAAAATGTATATATCAAACTCACGGATAAAATGGTTAGAGTTGACTCAATAGGCATGAACCCAGTCATGAGTAAAATAAAATCTCCGATAAAAATCCATTGCTTTTTGGAAGTGATCAAAATTCTTTAGAATCATGCTTCGGCTGAAGTTACATAATCAACAATGGCAGCATTCAGATACTTTCAAAGTATCTAATATTACGTTACATTTGCAATTCCACAAACAAATATTCAATATTCACACCATACACAATCAAACTATTTTCCCAAATCTAAAAGATGCACAAGAACCATTACTGCAGCCAACGCCCACTCAGTCATTAGGTTTCCCCGAGAGTTAACCTCGGATCAGCCAATTATCCCCCTCCCCAGCTGCGATCAGGATAAAGAGTTTAGGGTGGAAAGGGAGAAAAGTTACCCCCTCAGAGGCCGAGTGTATGAAAACAACAGCGGTTACTGTACTTTAGCAGTGCCTCAGCTCTTTTGCATGGCAACTTCTACCTATAAAGATAATTTTGATGGGCATTGATGCCACTTTCCCCCCGCGTTTCCTAAATAACCCCTGAAGCTCCTCAGTTCTCCTTTTTGTTACAGCCTCTGAGGCGGCCAACCGCTCGTTGTTTCGCTTCTATGTATTCAGGCAAAGGCAAATTGATCGAAAGCCGACTTCAGCCATCCCGCCCGCCCCGCCCCCCCACACAAACGAAGCAACACGAGCCTCCCCGTTCTCATACCGGTATTCGTAGTTCTCGTCGAAGTATTTATCCGAATAATAGATCTGTTTATGAGACATTATGAGAGGAATGGCGGCGGCGGCGGCGACCACAGACAAATCCCCCTCCGGCCCCAGAGCTCGTCACTAACCGACTGCCGTGAAAGCAACTCGGCACCCGACCCAATTTGAATCCGACATCTCGGCGCTGATTGGAAGGGAGCCCCGAACGAATGGGAGCGCGCGCCGTCACGTGGCCTCGGTCTGTTGCTATTTGACACTCTCCTAGGTTTGTCTCTGTTTCCACCAATCGGAGAGCGGAGGCGCCGAGGCGCAAGCGGGGGGAGTTGTGGCGGCGCTAAACACACTTCAGACGTTGATTACTGGGTCCTGGCGGGTTTTGTCTCTCCCTCCCTCCGACGAGAAAAGAAAGAATGATATACGATTCCAATATCTCCGGTCGGGTGGTGACCAAGAGCTGTTATTTTCCCCCCCCCCTTTAACTATTGTTATCGAAATGGCTGCTCTTCGCTCATAGCTACCCACCTTTTGCATATTGTTTTCAGGACAATTTTCTGCCCGCGTCGTTTCATTCTTCGCCGTTTCATTTAAGAATTTACTCTAATGAATTGCGGAGTCCAGAACTGCAATCAAAAGTGGGATATTTAAGAATAAAACTCTACAAGGATCGCATTCTAGAATCAGTAATATACCAGGGAGCCATTTCATCCTTTTCCTAAAGAGAGTGTTGCGTGTAGGATTTGCAAACCTTTTTTTTAAAAAAAAATCTGTCTCATTCCCTCTACTGAGTGCCTTCAAAGAGGAAAGGGATCCGAGTCTTTCTGTTGGTTGTGTCTACAAGGGTCCAGTTTTCACCCCCACCCCCACCCAGTATCTACCAACTCCAAATCCTTCAACTCTGCACCATGGAGAGCTAATTTAAATCTTCCTCCCACTGACAAACTTTCCAATATTGGGAAAGGTGGCTCAGTCAGCCTTTCTCAATTTAGTGAGCACTGACAGACTACATAGGTAGTCCTCAACTTACAGCAGTTCATTTAACGACTATTCAAAGTTAGAACGGCACTGAAACAAGTGACTTATGGATGTTTTCACAGCTACAATCTTTGAAGGATCATGTGATCAAACTTGGTGCTTGGTAACTGGCTCATGACTGGTACTGTATCCCAAGGTCATCTGATCCTCTTTTGCACCCTTCTGATAAGGTCAACGGGGAAGCTAGATTCACTTAAGGTTATCAACCGAAGTGATTCATGTAACAACTGTGGCAAGAAAGGCTATAAAAGGGGGCATTAATAGCTTAACAAATGTCTCACTTAACAAGAGAAACATTGGGTTCAATTGTAGCCATATGTTGAGGACTATCTGTTGTTCTAATCTCCAGTATTGAGGATCTTTGAATGATGGGAATAGCAGTCAAATGCTTTGATGGTCTTGACTAGAAGAAGTCTTCTGAATAATTGTGTACAAATAGTCCTCAGCTTACAACAGTCACTGTTCAAAGTTACAATAGCACTCAAAAAATGGTTACATGACCATTGCAGCATTCTCATCATCACGTGATCAAAATTTGGATGCTTGGCAACTGACTCATTTATGGCGGTTGCAGTGTTCTGGGGTCATGTGATCAGTTTTTGTGAAATTCTGACAAAGTCAGTGGGGAAGCCAGATTCACTCAACAACCATGTTACTACCTTAACTACAATGATTCACTTAACCATTGTAGCAAGAAAATTTGTAAAATGGGGCAAAACTCACTTAAATGTTTCCCTTAGCAACATAAATTTTGGAATCAATTGTGGTCGTAAGTTGAGGACTACCTACACATATTTTCAGTTTCACTGTTTTGAGTAGGCCCAACTTTTTAAAATTTCTAAAAATTTTCTAAGTACATTGCTTCCCCACATAACATTTGAAATGTGGGTTTTCTCTTGTTTTCTTTCCTACATTCTACTTGTCTTAACTTCAAAGGTTTCTATTTTCCTATGTTAAAAGTTTACCTCTCTGTTCAGACATGCACTTTCCTTCAGCAGTTCAAAGAGATTCTACTCACAAATGATTATTTTTTATTTTTTCGAACAGATAACGTTTGCATAGCATACATGCTTCTTTTTAAGTTGTACCGTATTATTGGAGTCTGCGTAGCTTTAAAGCTTTTTCATGAAATCTTTAGCACAATCCCTAAACAATAGAACTTGGAAGTTAAATACCAGTGAATTCAATAGAGCATACTCCTTGATAAGTAAATTTAAGTTTTTCGCCTTGTCGCACTTCCAAACCATTACTGTTTTCACTTTCAAACACTCAGAATCATTTTGAACCTTTTTGTTCTCACCAGGGCTGATGTTGAAACACAGAATAATCTATGAGCTCTTCCTGATAACCAGTAGAGAAGAAAAAGTAATCAGACTTTTGTCTCTATCTATGAATTAGCACATTTAATTTTGTCATTTATTACTTTTTAAGAGTTTAGCATTTGCTCTAAGAGATGTTAAGATACTTTTTCTCTGCTCAATTTAACAACAAATGTAAAGTTATTTAAAGATAAGAGTTTAAAGGCAAGAGTTTCTATCGATAGAAAAAAGATCTGCTCCAAAATTTCTACTCATAAATTTTTTTCATAGTGGTTTTTAAATCCCAACTGAGTAATTAGAAAGAAATTAGTTTGCTATCTAATGGAGATGACAAGTGGGAATTACAAGTATGATGTTTATTGGAGCAACTAGAAATACCATGTGGAGTTGCCAATAATCTTTATCTCCTGCCATATCTGAAACCTAACTTTATATCTAAAGTCTCTTTCAACTTCAGATCTGAATATCTCAATCAGAGCAATAATTTGAGATTTCAAGGGTTCTAACACATAATGTAGTATGGATTGAACATGTTTTCCCCCAAATAGTGGTGTTCATATTATGCGTCACTTTTTAAATATAAAGATTTTTATTTATATTTTATTTCTATAAATATACTGTAAAATGATGCCCAATAAATACATTCAATTTATAATAAAAATCTAGTTAAATACTTCATGTCAAAGTAAGAATCCTGAACACTGGATCTCCTGCATTCTCTGAATAGAGCAGAATAGTTAGTCTTCTCTAACCAGCTCAAAAAATTGATTTAAGGTAGCTGGAATAGGAAATGCTTTTTACTATCTAATCCATGTTTCTAAATATCTGACAAAGGTCAGTTGATAGCCCTAACTCTACAGCATTCTAATAATGATAAAGAAACCTAAATAATTTGGTCACATTTTGCCTAAAACATGGCAAGAAAATTATCTAAATAGGATTCTTTTTTTCTTTTTTTTGCAAGACCACAATAAGAATAGATAATTTACATAGTTTGATGGACTGGAGAAAAACTGACACAGCTCTTTGGTGATTGCAAGAAATTTTATGACACTATGGATTTCAGAATCTGCTGGCATATTAATGTGTTAAACTCTGTAGTTTATATTAGGACCGCATGCCACACAACTTGCTTCTGCCTTTAAATATTTTTCCTGTATAAATGTTGGCAGCTTTGAAAGTTCTTGCTGCTCAGAAATTCCATGTACCAGGATATATGCTTCCAAGGCAATCTTATCCCAATAGGCATCCTGTCAAGTTGTTTACCTCATGTCCTTGCCTGGCATTTGTTTACATTAGTTTGCTTTAAATACTTTCCAAGTTAATGGGTAAATATCTAATCACTGTGTATTGCAACAGATTTACAAGATGTTTGGCAAGATTTTAAGAAATACATTTAAATCCTTAAAAAAACTATAGTTTGAATAATATAGTAAACTACATTTTATCCCAAATTGGAATTAAAATAGAAACAGATTATAAACTCAGAGTTCCTATCACCTGGAATTTTGAAGATCCAGGTTAACAAATTGGTCAGTGATACCGTTTCGTTTTGTTTCTTAGTTTGATATTAGTGAGTTGTGTGAATTTGGCCAGTAGCAGTTTTTTCAAGAAACTAGGACACCAACATAACATAATTCTAATCAATACTATTATTCTTCCGTTTGAAATTTCAATGTTGTATGAATGGATTATAATTGTACATATTTAGGATAGAATGATCATGGCACTTTGTTCAATTTTTCAAACCTTTACAGAGGAATGCACTTTGATTTGTCTATACAATATTCAAACTGGAAGTAACAATAGCTTTAGTGCTATTGAATTTACTGATATTGCAGTCAGAAAAAAATACAACACTGGGTATTTAAGTAGAAGTCTCAAGTACCCTTCTGGTTTTTAGGTTAATTTTTTTGTATAGAAAAAAATATTTCCCATGGGATGTTGATAGTTTTATTGCCTGTATCCCCTCAATAAATTTTACTTAACAAACCTCAGTATTTGCTTAACAAGTTCAGTGCTTCACTTAACCACCATCACAAAAAAGGTTTAAAATCAGATCAGTTATATGACTTATTCTATAACCATCATGACTTATAAACATCACGGACAGGCTTCATTACAAATGTAAGTCAAGGATTTCCTGTAAATCATTTTTTATATTCATATAGTAACTATACATGTGCCAGAGCTCACTCCATTTTTTAAAAACAAAGTGATTTCATTTTGCCTCAAAAATTTATAACCAAAAAGTCCATTTTTTTTCATTTTCCCATTAGTAGTACTATCAGAAGTTATAAGAGTTCACATGTATAACTTCAGTGTAATATAAATTAATCTAAAAAACAATCATGCATACAGACTATTGTCTTCATTTGTTAACATATTTAGTAGAATATGATTTTGTTAATGCATCTAGTAATGGATGATTTTGTTAACACAGTAACTGATTAGACACTGTCAGGAATTTATCAACAGCAGACTGATATCAGAGTCACTGGCAATCTAGTTGGAACCAGAAGCAATTGCAGGACTCTCTCTAATAGTTAGCCCAGCATTTTCACCATAACTCTATTGGTCATGAACGCACCTGCTTTCCTATCTTCACCCCTTCAGGTTTGTATTCTGATATCCGGAAGACCAATAGATCCTAATGAATCACCATTAAAGTAAATGTAAAGGTTTCCTTGCACATGCGTGCTAGTTGTTTCCGGCTCTAGGGGCAGTGTTCATCTCCGTTTCTAAACTGAAGAGCCAGTGCTGTCTGAAGACATCTGTGGTTATATGGCTGGCATGACTAAAGACCGAAGGTGCACGGAACACTGTTACCTTTCTACCAAAGTGGTCCCTATTTTTCTACTTGCATTTTTTACATGCTTTCGAACTGCTAGGTTGGCAGAAGCTGAGACAAGAAAGGGGAGCTCACTCCATTACACAGTGCTAGGGATTCAAACTGCTGAACTGCCAATCAACAAGGTCAGCGTCTTATCACCATTATCCCAAAGCTAATCCCGTTCAAGCCTCACATGCAATCTGGTACAGTAGCAACTTGGCATGTCACTCTAGTTTCCTGATTTCCTCACACCAAAACTTTACATCATCTCTCTTGATTTGCATCAATGTCCTTATTGCCTCAACCTCACCTACATCTGCCTCTTACTAGAGTTGGATCAAGAAGAATCACTACAGAGGAGGCCTCTCAACTGCCCTGTCTTATTGACAAGTTATCCACTGAAGCTTCTGATCAGAATTGTACAAACTGGTCAACATGCTAGGTGATCTCATGAACATATCCAAGGCCTGAAAGTGATTGTCTTGCTTCCCTAGGAGGATATATAGCAATCACAGGGCAGCCCACAATTCATGACTGCAATGCCAGGATCCTAGCCCAGCAACCCAGATTCTGGTCCTGTGCCCTTGGCCCAAATCCATGCAGTTTCTCCAAGTATGCCCCCCAGGTCCAGCAGTCTTTACCCTCCCATACATTGTCTCAGTAAATGTATCCTTTAGATCTCTGATGATCTCATTCTTCTTATCTAGTGCATTCCTAATTTCTGACGCAATCTTCTCCACTATTCAGTCCTCTCTTCCTCTCTTTAGGAAGTCTTTGCTTTCCTCCACTTTATCTGCAGTCAGTTTCTAGCTTTCCACAAGGTTCAACTTCATCCAATCTATTCTTCCCCCCTTCTCTTCCTCTTTTTCCCATCAACAACTTCTTTTCACATTGCCTCCATCTCCCTAGACTTCTGGGTTTTTTTTTCCACCAGCAATTCTTTCTCCAGTGAATGCTACTCCAGTCCAGTGGTAGAGTTTTTGGGCTCTTCACTGGTGATCTTGCATCAGTGATACAGTGTTCTAAATATCATTCTGGATTCCAGATAGTGGCATATTTGCAAGATCTAGCAGCTGTCATGACAAATATCAAATCCAAATATACTTCAATTGGTATAAATTACACATATAAATTGATCACTTTCATTTTCAAGTGTTTGTGATAAGGAAAAGCACATTCTTTTTTATTGATCTTCTACACAAGCTGCTATCTATGATTGGCTCTGCTTTGGCAAACATATTCTCTAAAAAACAGATAACGTCATATTCAGTTTGCCCTCAACACTTGGAGAATCTTTTTCTTCTTTGATTTTAAGATGATGTTTTCCAGCTTCTTCCAGCATAAACAGTGCCATTTGGTTCGTCTAAGCTGAAGTGCATTTTAGCACTTTTCCAACTCCTATTAGCCATCTGAGGCATAGGTGGTATGCTGCCGGTTTGCACTGGTTTGGGTGAACTGGTAGTGGCGGCGCAAGGCTCCACTCACCCACCCTGGTGTCATCAAGAACCTTCTGCACATGCTTCATTCACACACACACACGCGCACTCCCGCTACCGAACCAGTAGTGAAGATAATATCCTTTACTGATCTGAGGCTTCTGCTGACACACTCTCCCCTCTAGTTTTAGCTATTGATTGACAGCAGCACAGTACCCACTGTGCCCTTGGTGTCTCTATTTTACTTCTGCCAATACCAGTGGAAAGAGAAAAAATGGGATATAGATCTTTGGGAGGTCAGTTCTGCCAGCACTAGGAAGATTCAGTCCCCCTTATGAAAGGGAAAACAGGGACAATGGAGTATTCTGAGGTTCAGTGAATTCTTGGAAGCAATTCTGCAACTGACAGTCCTGTAATGAAGTGGCTCTAACATCACTGTGGGGGACACTGGTTTTGCAGCTGACAGTCACACAGTGAAATTTCAGATTCCTTTACTACAATGCTGTGGGTTGCAAATCTCCATATCTCTTCCCCTCTGGGTAAGAAAACAGGCTTCATCTACCCACTACACAGGGCAAGTATGGGGCTTTTGGATGTTGAGAGAACTGGCACCAAAAAAACCTGAGATCCCTGCTTCCTTCCCCTGATTTCTGCCACATTGGCGAGGAGCAGGAGTGAGGGCTCTGTTGTTACACATCTCTGATACTCCATTATGAGCTACAAAGGAGGCATTCCTCCTCATCCTGCATCTTATTCTCCCCCTTCTGCAAACAAAACCCTTGTTCTGCTGAGACACAATAGGGATGGAAGCACAGCTGGAGTTCTTTGAAGATGGCATACTTTTCTGCTGGCTCCACCATTGGATAATGCTGAATAATCACTGCTGCTGGGTAGAATAGCCCAGGCTGGTACAGCTATTGCTATGAAGGCAGGACATAAGCTGCAGAGCTAAAGCAGCATGTCTCCCGATGACTCATGCCTGCGTTCTCTATGGATTGCAGTGTTTGAATGAACGTGCCAAGTTGGTGATATTCTGAGGCAGTCAAATGGGATCGTCAAATCCAGGGGAGTGCCATTTCCTTGTTTTTCTTGGCATTAAATGGAGGTAGAGGGTGGCTGCCAATGCCAATATCTATCTATCAATCAGAATCAACCAATCAATCAGAATAGAGCTGCAAGGCATCTTGGAGGTTTTCTAATCTAGCCCCCTGCTCAAGCAGGAGACCATACCATTTCAGACAAGTGGCTGTCCAGTCTCTTCTTAAAAGCCTCCAGTGATGAAGCACTCACAACTTCTGAAGGCAAGCTGTTCCACTGGTTAATTGTCTTCACTGTTAGGAAGTTCCTCAGGTTGAATCTCTCCTTGATTAATTTCCACCCATTGTTTCTTGTCTTGCCCTCTGGTGCTTTGGAAAATAAAATATCAAAACTATCAAAAAGGATAATGTTCTCATCATGGGCAAATTTGGATGGCTGCAGCTATCCTGAAAGCTGATAAGCCAAGGAAGCAAACCAGGTGTCTATGAAGAGAGTACCACTCACCCATAGCTGTTTCAGAGCAAAAGGCATAGAATCCTACTGACAGGTGACAGTTGGAATTTATCTCCAACAGTGTCTCCTCTAATAAAATCATATTTGAACAATTCTTATAATGTACTGTATCTGAAGGGGAAAGGATGGGGAACACCTACTTTGTTGGCTGACATCTCCCACCCACAGGTTTGCATTGCTATGGCAACATTCCAACCCACTCATATGACGTCAGTCTCACCTTGGAGAAGACAGAATGTTAAAGGGGCAGGCCATAGTTATTCAGGATTGCAGCATACCATACTGGCGAAGTCAGGAAAGGTTTTGTATGCTCCTCATCTGAACTCTCCATTACAAACTATATAGAGAGCAAGGACAAAAGAAGCAATAAAGCATATTGGGACTGCTGTGTGATTCAGTCCAGAAGAAATGAGTATCACCTATCATCTTAAGTCCTGACAGAAACGAGATCCCGAGGTATGACCCCAATTTTTTAATGGAGATAATGAAAATATACCTACCCACAAAGTGCTCCTGTTTCTATAGAAGGAAATTGTAATGAGCAAGTTGATAGATACAGCTTACCCTGTTACATATCATGCCTATATTTGTTTTTATTTCCTGCTTTGCAGTTATTTAAGATCTTGACCTGTTTTGTGGCTTTAAAAAAGTAAGTGGTAAATTCATACAAAGCAACGATGTGTTGTGAAGGGAAAGTTGTATTGTGAGGAAATGGAAAGCAGAGTTAGGTTAAAGAATAATCATATGTATCATATAAACAAATACTGATGTATAAACAACATTGACAGTGTGGCTGAGGACAAACTGTTAAGGCAGAATATGTGCATGGTTGGTTACATAAAAACTCAGTTTTTCAATACTGCTAGCTAAGGCCAAATCCACTATTAAGCCAGTGAAGAAATTGTCTTCAAAGAAAAATAATAACCATGTTTGTCACCAGAAACTATAGTTAAACCAGAAGCTAAACTCAGTAGTGATGTCTCCCAGTATTGTAAGTCCACTCACTCATGTTCTCCAATCTGTTCTCTTGAAGGTGTATCTTCCTCTATGTTCCGCTCTCTCTTTTTTGTGGTGAACTATTTTTAATAGTCAAACTTCCTTATGCTATCCAATCTTTTGGATTCCAGTTTAATTATTCCAAGTTGCTGGGTCCCAAGTGACATATAAATTTAAATAGAGTCCTGAGCACCATACATGGGAGATTTTCTTAAGTTTAATTTCATAGCAGCAACTCTGTTGCGTAAAGAAAGAATAATCAATATGACATCCAAGAACCTCTGTAACTGGGTCTAGGCTATTTATATCTAATATTTCTTCACCTCTCCATAGTTTTCCTATTTTGACAAATCATCTTTTCTACCACCAGATTCATATTGTTTCATATTTTGGTTTGATTTTATCATGCCTTGACCCAAGCTGAATAGGGCACCATTATCTGTTTTTGTTTCCTTCAGTAGGAATTTCGTTGAATCAGTTTTAATTGTGTTGCTTTATGGTTTGACTCCCAAAGCCCATTTGGGAAATTGAGCAATCCCCTAAAGAACATACATACATTGCCTTTTGTCCTTCAAATTTCTCACCTGTCTGTTTCTTCATCCCACAAATTCTGCCTCATTACAACTTTTTAGCCTTCCCCTTCCTCTCAACTTTTTTTTTACTCTTTCTTCATATAAATTGGTTTTGCAGATTATTTATCATTCATTCAAACCATCTCAATATACATCCTTTTGTACTGAATTATCATTTTAGCACCCATTCATTTTCTATCAATATTTGCACATCTTAAAATTTCTTCATCCATTTACTCATCTTTATAACATTCTAGTAAAATACACGAATTCACCCTGCTCTAGATTTTTGCCACTGGTGTATGGTCCACTTTCTTCTTGATCACCAACATCTACAGCTTTTTCCTAGTTTCATTATCATTCCCATGCCTTAACCTTTTTATTCAATACTTGTTATATTTTGATAATTTTCTGAGGTAGGCCAATATCATCCTCCTTTAGTTTTCCCTTGAGTCATTTTAAAAAGTCAAGAGGATATTTTTTAAAATAGAATTTAAAACTCAATGCTTAGTTAAATTCTTTTTAGAAACTAAAAATAGCCTTTTACAATTTTTATACTGCATAAAATAATGCATTATAATGCAGAAAGTTGATGTTTGGGAAAGAGACGAAGAGAATGACCAGCAGCAAGGTGGATAAACTCAGTTACAGAGGCAATGAGGGCACTATTGGAAGAGCAGAAGATCCGACTAGGGACAGATCATCTTGGTGAAAATGTGTCTATATGGTCATTAAGAGTTAACAATAACTTGATAGCTCATGCAATCAATCATCAGTGGTCTGGAGGAGGGATGCTGCAATCTGCAAGAGGCATGGGATTACAACTGACATCACTCCCATAAACAGGGAGGGCTTTTCTCACAACGCAACATCCATCATATTTCAGATTTGACATCTTCATGGATGTCTATGATAAGGTGAAGGCGGCTTCAGGGAATAAGTTGAACCAGCAGGTACAAAGAAAATGTTTATTGTAAAGATATTACAGAGAAAAGGTTCAAATTAAAAGCAATCACACTTGAAAGTAATTCAATTGATTCTTGTCTGTCACAAAGGACCATAGTTGTTTATTGTTAGTTTCTCCCAGACTGGTATCAGATTACTTGGAAAGAATTATTTTTTTAAAAAAAAATCCTTTAAAACATTTTTACAGAGAGGAATACAGACTTACAATTAAATGAAGAAATAAATAATGTAAGACAAAGGTAAAAATGAAGACAGAAAATAATCACCACTCCGTATTTTTGAGAGTTTGCTTGAGCATAATATCAGCCCTTGGCTCAGAGCACATCCTGAATACGCTGTTTTGTTATATTTGAAGCACCATGCTGTTTACACATAGAATCCTTTTCTCTGTATGCAGCTCAGGTCAGCACTGGATCCTGCAACTTCCCATTGTGGTTCAGGTCATGTAGTACTGAATAAGCCCAGTTGCACGAATAATATATTTTATTTAGCTATATGGCTGAATAAGCTCGATATAGCTAGATTTCCTATCTTTTACATCTTATATTTCTTTGGTCTACCATTTCTACACCCTTTCTGTGCTTTGCTTTAATGCTACTTACCCAAAAGAGAATAGAGCGATGGATAAGTATATATGCTTTTGTTCTTTACTCAATGATTGGATGAAAACAAATGCTTTCCACACCTACGTATATGCATACTCCACTGCTTCCTGTGTGTTCTTCCTGAAGCTTTAATTATTTCTCATCAGAGAGAAGTTGACAGTGAGTTACAAATAGTCACGACTCCACCAGATTAACTCTCCAAGCACATCTCATTTTCATACCAAGCAAACTCAAATATTCTTCATAGAATCCAAATCCTCATAGCCTAAAGGCAGGATAACTTATTAAAAATAAAACAAAGTCTACCTAAATGGTTGTCTATGATTTAATGGCTTGCCTTTGATTGTATCCAAATTAATTTAAATTCTGCTCATTTTAATTGTTAGACATGGAGTGTTTGTAATTCATACTTTTCATTTTGAAAAGTAAACTCAACTTTGATGTTTTTGTGAAAGCCTGTATTGATTCAAGGGAAGATTGCCTTGCTCTTCTTTTAGTAAAAAAGCAATGAATAAGGAATAGGAAGGCGAATCCAAGAACAAGTCATTAGGCATAAACTCCAGACCTCAAACAGCAGTGTTTAAAATCAGGTATTTTTTGTATGTATGTATGTATGTATGTATGTATGTATGTATGTATGTATGTATGTATGTAAACCTCAAGTATTATTGCTTCAAGTATTTTGTTGGCTTTTCTGATCATGCTGGATAAGACAAAAAATTCATCTAATTTGGTAACAATTATCCTAAAAGGGTTCAATCAAATTCTACTGCAGTACCTTCAACCAGTGTATGATGATGCCAACAGTTCCCAAATGGCATTCAATGGAAAATTGCCTTTGATGTCGAAGTCCCAAATAGATGCCATGACTAGTAGTCATTGTAAGATTTATCGATCCTGAACTTAAAAAATTCCAAACTGAACTGAGTACCTTGGCAAAAATTCATCATATAAATATCGGATGCAAATATAATAGTTCATTTTGCATTCTTAACCTTTTAATAAATATAGTATTAATAATGAAAAAAAGATCCATGGTTTGGGGGAATTCCAGAAAAGTTTCTGAAAAAATATTGAAGTGATCCCCAGTGACCTGAAAAGCCAAAACATTTGCCTGATACATTAATAATTGCATATACTAATGGATTGAATTAACTCAATGCATTCTATTCTGACTTCAGATGTGATTAATGTCTATTGGTCAGAATTCAAGTGAGCATGTGCAGATTTAACACCCTCTCTACAATTATTTTAAATTGTAAACTTCAGGCGGTACATCACACATGTTGATTAGATAGTCATCTACTGCCATAGACATCATCATAAAATAGCCTTATGCAATTATGTAATTTTTGTCTCTGGTGTGATATGACATTTGTGACATCACTTTCCCCTTCTCTTCTTTTGGAATATTGATGTTGCCTTTCAAATGTATTAAACTTTGAAGAATATTTTTAATAGAAATTTGACGGTTCTAAAAGGCACAGCAAATGCTTTGTTGACTGAAATCAGGTAGACAGCTCTCTTGCAAGGAAAGATACAATGTGGTAATATTCTCAATAGAACACTGTATGGAGAAGGGAAAATGCCCCATGCCAGTTATATTACGGCAGCCACCTTTCATATAGATAGATATATAGATATATATCTAACTATATATCTAGTTATATTATGGCAGCCATCTTTCGTGTGTGTGTGTGTGTGTGTGTGTGTGTCTTTGGTTATTCGGGTTTTCTCCCGCGTAAAATTGGAAGTGTCTTGGCGATGTTTCGACGAAGTCTCATTCGTCATCTTCAGGCTTGTTTGCTCGGCTTCGTGCTTCCAGGAGCCGAGATCTCACATTGCTCCTGGAAGCACGAAGCCGAGTAAACAAGCCTGAAGATGACGAATGAGACTTCGTCGAAACATCGCCAAGACACTTCCAATTTTACGTGGGAGAAAACCCGAATAACCAAAGACACACACACACACACACACACACACACACA